CTAAATCTCTCATTCACAAATATTCAAGGTTTTTGAAGTAATTTTTTTCCTATTAGTCTTATCTTTTGCTATGTTCACCAAACCTCCTTGCTCTTTGTCAGACTAATTTGAGTTCTGTTTCTTCTTGTGACCTTAGTGTTGATGGTTATCTTTCTTCAATCTGTAAAAATTCGTAGCACTTGTAATGGCCTTGTAAAGACTTGTAATAGTCGTCACATGCACTTGGGTAGAAATTGTTTATCTTCCTGCTGACAATTGTTCTTCTTATGTTACTTCTTGGAATCAGCTGTTATTGAATCTTTAATTCCCTATTGACAATTCCAAGTCAAGCCTTACTCTTCTCCATGGTTTTCCGCTCATTGTGGTGCTGCAATTTCTAATTGTAACCATTACTTTCATATCTATCGCCAAAACAATACTATAGAAAACAGATGGCATTTTACTATTGCAAAAAAAACATTGTAAAAAGGTTTTGTCTAAATCAAAGCCCGCTTTGATTTAGACAAAACCTTTATACAAGATTTTATGACCATTCACAGGTCATAAAATCTTGTATTTCATCTCAAAATTCGGCTCCAGAGACTTTTTTAACAATTTTTAACAGTGCAGCATGGAAAATAACAGCTGGTCAATGGTCAACATACGCCTGAAATAAATAAGATTACTATTTTGACCTATCAAAATGAATTTTTGCCAGTCATGTTTGACCAGTTATAAAAAAAATTTGAGTTTTGAAAAACAAGGTTTTGCAAATATTCATGATGTAATTTGGAAAATCCATACATTAAATTTTTCCAAAATCGTTTAAATTTTAAACAGGTGTTTAAAATAGTTCATGTTCATGATATGCTACTTTAATTTAATTCCTTAACAAATTTATGGCATAAACTAAATCATTATTTTATTTTGCTTCACTTACTTAAATTACTTTTATTTTACTGGTGGTTAATTAGTACTGTAGAATTTGGCCAAAAAATAGTGAAACCTAGAAAAAAATTTTATAGAGACATTATATATCATTAGAAAGATAATTTTATCTGCTTTCTAATGGTGTACCTTGTCACTTTTTTGGAATTGAGCAAAAAAAAATGGTGGATCAAAATGTAAATGTAGATTTTTTCATTTTATTTAAAAAATTAACTAAATATAAAACAGTGTTCTTCGATATCATAGCTTCATTATTAAAAAAAGTTCAATTGCCATCATGTTACTGAACAAAAGGAATTAAATATTTCTAAAAGCTTAAGTATTCATTTTATTATAAAAATGAGCTTCTCTTTGAGATCGTAGCTATTATTTAAAAATTACTTATATTTTCAATGTGTTTGAAACAGCTGTGAATTAAATATTGAATTAGATATAAAAAAAACATTTTGTGTAGTTGACTGTCTTTTTATTTAAAGATAAGATAATAATGGAAGATGAAATTGAAACTGATATATCAAACAGAATAACGTTATGTGTTAAATGCGGAGAAGATGTAAGAATGCATGATCCTTTAAATCATGTAGGTTCGAAGTATTCTGATTCAAGCAAGAAAAAACATCCCCTGACTGCAATTATAGAGCATGCTATGAAGCTTAATTTAGATACTTTTGTTGATAAGCTCAAACTGAACAAAAGAACAAAAGCAAACACTTATATCCATTTATCATGTAGAAGTTTTTTAAAAAATCGCTCTCGAAAAAGATCAATGAAATTCGAGACAGAACGTATTGCTAGAGCCAAAATGGAACTATTTGATTTCAAAACACAGTGTTTTTATTGTGGCGGTGATTGTGTCTATGACAGAAAAAATCCAAATCGCAACAAATTTGAAGAAGTACGTACAAAAAAAGCAGCCATATATTCTTCCACCATCGAAATATGTCGCAATAGAGAAGATCAACTTGCTAAAACTATAGAAGCACGTTTAATCAGTGTGAATGATCTAGTAGCAGCAGAAGGCAGATACCACGTATCATGTAGAGCCAGCTTCGAGAACCCTTTACTAAAATATTTAACATCTGGACGTCCTACTTGCAGTAACAAAATGACATCATTCAATACTATATGTGAATTGTTAGAAAGGGACATAGAGTTGTACACGTTGTCAGAATTTCATTTGAAAATGATGTCAATCAGTGATGACGTTTATTCAATAAAAATGAAATTAAAGGAAGTTTACGGTAAGTCTTTACGCTTTGTCAAAAGAGAAGGCAGAAGCAATATAATTCTATTGGACAGTGTTAGAGACATTTTATGTGAAAAATGGTACCAAGAATAAAGCACAAATGTAAACGAGGAGAGAGAGCGTGTTGTTATAACAGCTGCAAAACTTTTGAAAAATGCCATAAAGAATCATGACCACAATTCAAACGTATATCCTTCCAAAGAGGACATCCTAAACATTGAAGGAACCTATATACCTCAATTATTAAAAGCATTTGTTAATGAACTAGTTCAGGCACCTTTAAAACAGGTTTCAATATCACAAGCCTTATTTTCTGGAACATGTCCCAGGTCTATTATGCCATTACAGTTTGGACTAAGCCTTGCTGTCGATAACCGTCTTTCATCAAAATGGCTGAACATACTGCTATCAAAATTAGGATTTGGTGTTAGTTATGACGAGGTATGTTTCATTTTATTAAGTATCTTTTATCAGAATCCCCACAATACCGATGTTTATGTAATTTTTTTAAGGTTATCCGTTACAAACAGAATGTTGTAAAGCATGATACTATCGACGAAATCATCTCTGGAGAGGGAACCTCATTTCTTCAATTTGTAGCTGACAACACAGACCATGACATTGCTACTGTTGATGGAAAAAATACGCACCATGGACTTGGGTCAATTGCAATTGCAATTGGAAAATTCACAGACGTTTCGTTCAAAAGAAATAAAATTCCTAGAGATAAAAAGGAACTATGGTCAAATATCAAGTCAAACGATGGGATAATGATTAGGCAGTACTACATACCTGACATACCTTCATTAACAAAAACAATATTCAAACCAGTCATTCAGGTTTGTTATGCATATTACAATTTAAAAAAGTATTTACTTCTACCAAGTTTGAAGTTTGAAAACTAATTGTTTTATTTAATTTTAAGAAAAAAATTCAAGCTCGTTTTTCTGATCTTCTATGGAACATTGGCTACCTTTTCAAAAATCCATGCCCAAGTTGGTCTGGCTACATGAGTTCTGCAACAAATAATATTGTAAAACATAAATCTTACATTGCTATACTACCTGTGATTGATTTACACGCTACTAATTTGACAGCCCTATATTCACTACTTTGCTTCATCATTGATCACTCCAAAAAAGTGAATATTACAATGCCATCCATAACATTTGATCAGCAGCTTTACATAAAAGCATACGAAATAGTCTCTACAAAAAACTTAAATATATTTGTTCGTCTCGGAGGTTTCCATCAACTTATGAGTTTTCTAGGTTCAATTGGATGTATGATGGAAGGAAGTGGTTTGAAAAGCGCTCTTGAAACAGTCTATGCCCCTTTAACAGTAGGACACATGCAATCAGGAAAAGCATTTTCACGTGCTATACGAGGCCATTTTTTATGTGCATAAGCAATAAATTCACTGATATTAAAGGATTTTTCAGAAAGGTAGAGGTGAAGTTATTGGTAAAGGCATGACTGAAAATGTGTTAAGGGTGTGGACGAAAACATTGCATTGATGCGCTGAAGTAAGTGATAGGATGAGCACTCTAACATTTCCGCATAAATCTGTTGACAAACATAAAGAAATGTATCCTGGAAGAATGAAACGTGATAGTGATGACTTTAAAAAAATGCAATCATGGTTTTTTGCTCATAACCCATTCATGGTTGGAGATCAACTTGTTAGTTTGGACTCTGGTTTAATGGATAATCAGAAAATAATTACCTGTGATCGGTCAGAAGAGATAGGAGCATCAATACACAAAGTGCTAAATGGTAAAACCTACACAAATTACTCTTTCAAACAAAAAAATCAAATAACAACACTCCAGAGCTTATACTCCTGCGTATCAATTTAAGACGAAATTGTTACAATTGACCCATTAACACTTTTTCTAAGATTGATTGTTGTTGTTGAAAGAAAGCCAGAGAATGAAGTGGAGAGTTACTTTCAATATGAGTTATCACCATATCCAAGATCCTTATTTAATAGAGGTGTCATGAGATCCGCACAAAAGTCAACGTTGAAAACATTCATACTCAATAATGTATCACCAGTAAAAGAACCTGTATCAACCAAGATGGCTGATGGGGGCGCATTATTGTGGTGCTGCAATTGGAAAAAAAATGAGTTATTTAGTGAAATTAATTTATACATTAATTTTGCTCAACACTTACAGCTTGACACGATCATTTTTGATGGTTACCAGTCGTCCACTAAAGATAGTATCCACCAAAAGCGATCTGGTAAGATATCACAAACAGTTGAAATCAATGATCTCAATCCATGCCCAGCAGAAAGAAGTATTTTCCTAAGTAATTACAAAAACAAAAATGATTTTGTCAGACTTTTAGCATTGAAGTTACAAAACAATGGTTTTAAAGTTATTTGTTGTCCCAGTGATGCAGACACAAGTATTGTTAAGCTAGCACTTGAGATTAACAACGTTGAGTCAGTCACAATTTATTCGGATGACACTGATATTTTATGTCTATTAATGCATCATGTACATACCGGAGCACAATCTCAAGGCATTTTTTTAAAAACGTTGACACGAAATAAGGCTACAGATCAAAGAGTATGTTATAAAATTCAGAATGTTGTAAATACAAGTGATGATACTCTTTTAAATTATGTATTATTTGCACACACATTCACTGGGTGTGACACAACATCAGCAATCCATAACTTCGGCAAAACCACAATTTTTACGAAGTTAAAAAATTCAAATGAATTGAAATCTACTGCAGATCTATTTTATCAGGAAAACATTTCTACAGATGATATTGGCAAGGGAGCTATTCGTTTTTTTGAGCTGCTTCATTCACCTTGTTTCAATCTAAAACAGATCAGGAAACATAAATATGATGAAATGGTGGCATCTGATCGTGCAAGTATTGATCCTGCTCTATTACCACCATCACCAAGAGCTGCATATTATCATGGACTCAGAGTTTATCACCAAATGAAAGTATGGTGAAATTTGAGTGACGTTGATTTAGATCCATTGAGTTGGGGATGGGTAATACAAAATCAAATGTATGCACCAATTATGACAGATATAGAAGCAGGTCCTCAAGATATTTTGAACATCAGATGTGGCTGTAAAGGTTCGTGTGGAAATAAATGTACTTGTCAAAAAGCTGGATTAAATTGTACATCATCTTGTAAAGAGTGCCATGGCGTAACATGCCCAAACAGTAATATTAATATTCCAGAAGAAGACATTGAAGAGAAAGAAAGACATTTTCTAGATGCTTTTGAGATATGAAAGATTATTTTTATATTAAAAATGTATTTATATATAATTTAAAAAATATATATGGTGTCAGATTATTTTGTTATAAATATTGGGTTATATAAATGAGGATCGCTGTAAATTGGAGGGGGGGGAGAGCGTCCTAGGAAACATTTTTTTCAAATTTTAAAAATTAGGCATAAAATGTAATATAAATTATAAATTTATATAAAAGAAACATTTTTACTCCTTGCCCAGGTAAATATCGGCGTCGCAATCCGTGTTTTTTACAAAAATTGCTCAGGTTAGCAGAAATCCTCTATTCACCATTTCATCTGCCATTTTTTTTGCTCAAATCAAAAAACTTGACAAGATACACCATTAAAAAGCTGACAAAATTATCTTTCTAATGATATATAATATGTCTCTATATAAATTTTTTCCATGTTAAACATAAATTCTACAGTACTAAGTCTCTTTTCATGAATGATTGAAATTCTTATTTTATTATTGTTTTAATAAAAATATTTAATATATTATTTTTATATTATAAAAATATTTAATAATTACTGTATTTAACTTAGATTTTTTTTAAAATGTAATTATTCACTTTTTCCTTTGAATCTTTTTATTTTCTTGTAATTTTTTGCTGCTAATGTAATAAATAAATAAATAATTTATAGGTAAGTTTAAAATTTTCTACAGAAGGATTCTTAAAAGTATACACATTTAGTGAAATCTTGTTTTATGTAACACAAATATATTTGTAGTAGTGTTTCATAAATTAATTGTCTTCTTAGTATTAAGTATCAAGTTTAAAAATTATCAAAATAAAGTTATAAATAACTAATTTTTACAGTTTTTCAAATGAGCAGAGATAAAAAAATATTTTATATCTCTGTTTATTAAAATCAGAGATATAAAATTATTATTTAAAATTTTTCTATGTAACTAAGAACATTTTTTCTGCCAACTGTACTTTTTATAACTTAATCTTTTCATTTATTTTTTCTTCACTTTTTCCCGCCGATGTGAAGCCAAATTTTTTTAAAAATAATTCATTCATTGCAATCAATGAATTATTTTAAAACAAATTTGAAATAATCAGTTTTAAAATAATTCATTGATTGCTATGATTGCAATCATATTATTTGCATTTACTAATTTATATATATATATATATATATATATAAATTAGTAAATGCAAATAATATATATATATATATATATATATATATATATATATATATATATATATATATATATATATATATATATATATATATATATATATATATATATATATATATATATGTATATATATATATATATATATATATATATATATATATATATATATATATATATATATATATATATATATATATATATATATATATATATATATATATATATATATATGAAGAGTGTATTTTCAAAATGTGGTATACCCATTTTTGTGGTATTGAGATAATTGACTTTTTTCACCACACAATTATGTCTCATATATTTGAAAGTATTTTTGTTGCTTAATGTATATATACATAAAGTATATTAGATAATGTTAATAATTCAAGTATTGGTAAATTTTCATGTTTATAAATTCACATTTATTTTCAAAATACTGTATATCCGATTATAGCTTATTAGCCAAAAGCATTATATTCATTTTATAAAGATATTATGGAAAGTTTATCAACTTTAAAAGACTTAAATATCTTTTAATAATTGATTTTTTTTAAGGTATTGTATAACTCTGTGTATTTAATATTTTAGTAATTATATTTTAATGATAATGTGAATGTAAACAATGTTTTGTTAAAGTAATGTAAACAGACAATCAATCTTATCTTGAAACCAAAGATTTAAAACTTTGACAGGTAGGTCCGGATTTACAGTCATTGATGGTCCATTTTTTATGTAGTTTTGCCCACTTAAGCATTTTTATTATTCATATAATTTTTTTAAAATAAATTTATATTATCTAATAGTGCAAAAATAAACATAAAAAATAGTATTATTTTTAAAAGTTAATGCCATTCGAATAATTATAAACAGTGTATATTAAATAGGGTTACAAAATATAAGTCCATAAAATGTCCATAAAATGAAGTAATGCTACAGTACTTATAAAAACTTATAAATAAAATATTAACTTTAAATATTAAATTAAATCTTTATTAGTTCTGACAAATGATTTGAATTATATTTAAATAATGTTTATATATTTAATTAATAAATTTTATTTGATATACATAATTACATAAATATTTTAGTATTTTAGTGCTTGAAATGCTACGTTTATACAAATGTAGGTGAGGCCAGGCCTCTATGGCCTTTATAGATAACCCTCCACTGTATATATATGTTATTTGTTAAACTGCATTTAGGTGCAAAAATTATTGTCAATAAAGATCAAGATATTTCAATTGGTGATCAATGTAGAGTACGCATAACAGGTACAAAAACTCAAGTTGATGATGCAATTTTGCTTGTTAAAAAAAAAGTCTCCCAAGAAGCAGAATTTAATAAAAAGAATAAAACTGATGAAAATATAAAGAAAGGTAAAAATTTTTTGACTGTTTTGATTGTATTTTCATGTATGTTTTTTAAAAAACTTTTTAAGTAAAGAAATTTTTTATTTTTAATTTTGATCAAGAACTTTGTTTTAAAAAATGTTCAAAAAATTTTAAAAACAAATTCAAAAGAATTCGTGTTTATATATTGCTATGGAGTATTTTATAGAATATTTAAAAATAATTTTGTATGAAATTTTTTTCATTTCGTTCAAGATTAAATATTTTGTATTTAGTCTTGAACATTTTTAAATTATTTATTATAGTTTTATTTATATTATATATATATGCTATTTCTAAATAAAGAAATGATGAAAACTTTATGTAAAGTTGTTTAAATAAAACTAATACTAAATTAAAACATTTATATTTAAAAAATTATATTTTTAAAGAAGTTTTTTTTTTAATGTAATTAAATGAAATTTTCGACTAACACTTCTTTAAGCTTAGAGAGATGAGAATACAGTCCCAGATCCAACAACATTTTCAATGCGTTTTTGGACTTTGCTCAAAAAAGTGAGGGCCTCGTTAGAAGAACTGGCCAAAATATGACAACAGTATACAAATATGAATAATATATTTACAGTGGTAGAAAATGGAATCAGCAATAAAAAAATGACAAGCACAATAAAGGCAACCTTAGCAGATACTAACTTTGCAATTGATTGTATATATGGTTTCTAAGAGAGGTCAGTAGTAAGGGATAATCTGAAAAGATGTAAAGTAGAGGATTTAGTAAGAGTGTTGCCACTAAATAATATAGAAATATCAAATGTATTGTAAAAGTTATTAACTGCAAAAAACTTTTATTTAGCTTAAAATTCCATTTCTTGCAGTGATTAAAAGACATTTATACTCCAGAGAGTTGTTTATGTGGAAAAGATGAAAGAACTGATTCCAGTGGAGTCCAGTGTTGTGGACCAGTAGAGTCCAGTGCTTGACTCAAAGCTGGTTAAAAGAAAGTTTCCATTAAAAATTTTTTTTATGTTTCGGGCCTTGTGATGACAAATGCTCAAGGCATAAGACTTAAGGCTTAAGCTTAATAGAGTTTTTAGCATCATAAAATCTTTTTATTTACTTTTTATTTTTATTGAAATTAACCTTTTTGAACTATTGCTATTTATTAAATTACCGCAACATTTTTATTTTAATGTTAAAAAATGTTGATTTGTTTATTATTGTAATAATAAGTATTATTATATTTAGTACTTTATATTAAATAATTTGTTTATTTTCTAAACACTTGAAACAATCAATGTATATACATTCTAGTTCTTTATTTTAATAGACCTGCATTTTGCAAGTATTTTTTGTAGTCAATGGTAGAAAATTAATTCATAAAAAAAATTACTTTATAAATTAACATACAAAAAAACAACAATAGCTCGAAAGAAGATTAATGGGATATTTTTGACCAATCTTTTTAAAATACATGAATCAACAAAAAAATCTGGGTGCGGATTCACCAAACTTTCGTAACTCTTGCGTAGCTCAACTAAGGTTACGGAAATCGTAAGTTAAGCGTAGTTTTGGTATTCGCCAATGTTTTGCAGCATTTAGGGTTGCGCACGAGTTGCGCCAAACTTACGCAAAAACTTACGCAAAAATCAACCAAGTTAATTTTTGTTTGAATAAACCAAGTTTTCGTAATTTTATAAAACAAACTTTTCTAATATTGAATTCATATAATTTCTAACTAATTTAAATTAGGGGTTATTACTAATCAACATTTTTCACACCCTAATAAAATGACAATAATATTTTTATAAACTTTGCTGTAAAAACTAAATACTTTTTATTGAATATTTATTTAAAAAAAATATATATAAATATTAGGAAAATAGTTTCAAGTTGAAAAAAAAAGAGGTAGAGAGAGTTCAGAATTGATTATTCTACAAAGAGTTTATTAAGGGCAGATAAATTTTTAAATTGTTTAATATGCAATTAATAAATAATAAAAAAACTTTCATTTTTTTCATTCATAAATATCACGTAAATCATATATATATATCCCCATATCCCCATATCCCCTTCAATTTAATAACATAGTTTTAATTAGTGTTCTTTGTACAATGCCAAGTCGAATTGGTTGACTTGTGTTAATTCAACCTGAACATAGTGTACATCATCTTCGTTGTTGTCCTCAAAGTTTATGTCATCTGGAATTTTTAATCCTAAGGAATTGTAAAAGTTTTCCAGCAACTTACACTTAAAATATATTTTGCACTATATTGTTTGGGTAAGCATATTTTTAGGAGCACTGAAGTGCTTCACGTCTCTTGTGACATCCAATGGTTTTTGAGATGATCAAAGAATTGCTCCACATCACTATCTATCTGTAGGTGAACTTTATTGAAATAGATTTTTTCTGGTGTAGTTGGCTGATTAAATGGTGCAATCATGACTGTTAATAAGCAAAAAGAAAATCTGCATTAGGATTATATTCTAATGTCTTTTTCAATTCAAAAATAGAAAAAAATAAAAATTATTTTTTTTTTGAATTGACTAGTAGCTTTTACCAATTACTATTTGAAAACTCCCAGTTAATTTAAAAACTCTCAGTTACATTTTTGCTTCTGAAGAAATTGGGTTGCTCCTCAATATGCTTGGTAACAAATCATTGTTAATGTGTTGGCTTTATATACTTCTATATATTTTTATACAAATGAGATTTTTTAACACATACATCAGAGTAATCACAGTATATTGAGCTTAACGCTAGATTTGATCTTGACCAAATTAATCAAATTTCTATTTAAACTAAAACAAAATAAAGCTATTAAAACAACTAAATGAACTATGATAGTTAAACTTAATGAGACACGTACCATATAACAAAAAACTGTGAAATAGAATATTTATAAAGATATACTTGCTTTTTTGTAAATATATAGTTTTTATTAATATTTGTAAAGATATAGTTGTTTTTTTTTATGAATATAATAATTCAATAATTGTATATATTACCAAAATCATAACTGCATTATAACAATACAGCATCTCTTAAAATATAATCCAAATAATATACAATATACTATAATATATTATTTTATATAACAATGTTACTATTATTTTGCATAAGATGTTATATTATATTAATAATATAATAATATTTTAATATAAATAAATTAAATACATTAGGTTTAACTTAATTAATAATATAACATCTTAATGGTTGTCATAAAGATGTTATATCAATATTTATTTATAATATCACATCATGATGCATGTAATTTAAATATATTCGGGCCCTATTATATGCTATATTACAACTATATAATAATAAATTGATCATATTATACAAAAATATAACAATAATACTATGATATTATAATACACAATGTTTTGGTTTGTTAAACAGTTATATAACTGACAAAAATGTGATGACCTACAAATCTATATATACGTGTGTATATATAGATTCGTAGGTCATCACATTTTTAATAAAATTCTATATATGCATATATATATATATATATATATATATATATATATATATATATATATATATATATGTGTGTATATATATATATATATATACACACATACACTTACACATACACAATCAAACATACATAGATATTCATACAAACATATACATACATACACACACATAGACACACACACCAAACACACATACACACAGTATGTGAATGTATGTATGTCCAGTGCGCGCATACACACATATATAAATATGTGTATATGCACACGCCTATTTATGCATAAGTGTGTATGATACACATATATACATACATACACATATACATACACACACAAACACATACACACATATACTCAAAACACATACATTCATACATATACATACACACATGTATACATATACAAGCATACACACAATACATATACACGATCACACATATACATATATGTAAATAAACATACATAAATAAGTAAACACTTTATACGTAACAAATATCAAGATGTTATTAAGTTATTAAGTTGTAAAAATATTATGATGCATTTGTATTTCAAATATAAATGGCATTTATATTTGAAATATAAATGCATCATAATAATTTATAGATAAAATTAATAGATAATAATAAAAATCATAGATATTAACACAAATATTATTTGTGTTAATATCTATGATTATTGTTTACTTAATTATAGTATATACAATTTATATACATGAATTGTATATATTATAATAAAATTCTATATCAATTTGACAATATATGAATCATAATAATATTACACTATTTCTAATATTTAGTTATTTAAACTTTACGCCAAAGTTAAGGCAGCTAATAGCTAACTTAACTTTTCTTGCTTAAATTGAGCTGAGCAAGTTTATAAAAAGTTAGTTGACAACCATTTCAGCTTGGTGAATACCGATTTTTTAACACAGAACATACGAAAAAACTTACGTAAGTTTTGTTAAACGCAACTGCGTAAGTTTCGTCAATAAGGATTTCACTGTTTTGAACTTACGCTAAACTTACACAAAAAAAAAGTTTGCTGAATACACTCCCTGATGTTGGTGATTCTGAGAAAGTGCAAAGATCAAATCTGTAAGAACAATGCAAACATATAGAGAAACTATATAGAGAACAAAGACAGTGAAGATGTTTCTGATTTCAGTCAAGATTATATGTCAATAGTTTTTATGATTTAAATTTGTGATAATACTAAAATTGTTTAGTTTCAAAAAATGTAGCACTTGATGTTTAAACATTTAAGTATTTGGATATTTTTGTTATTATCATAAAATTTTAGTAAAACTTATATTCACAAATATATATCACAAATAGTTCTTATGACAAATGTTGTATTTATGAACATCAGTTATGTTCACAAATATCTTGTTGTTTATTGTTATAAATCTATTTTCAGATTACAATAACAATTTTAATGTTTACTAATTATTTTTGATAATTATTTAAAAAGTTGATCACTCAATAAGTAAAAGAAAAAATTCAATAATTTGCTGTTAGTAATTTGCACATAGGCAGTTGTCTCTCACACACAAAAACAAGAAAATTAATTATCACAAACTAAAAAAAAAAATTCTTTATTAGTTGTTATAAATATTAAAATAGTGTAATGTTTTTCAAAGTGTATGAAATAGTAATGGTCAACTCGAGTGAGGTGAGGATCATCTTTAGATGGTTCATCAAATTATATATCATATACAGATGGTTGTTATTATATATTAGAAAACATAATCATTATGCAACTGCATAACCACAGTTGCATTTTAATGCGCTAGTTGCAGAGTACTTTTGTTTTTAATGCAGTAATTATATAGTTGTAAAAAACTTTCCTTTTCATTTAGTTTAAACCTATCATGTTCTTAGAAATTTGCATTTTTAGTTTGTTTCTCTGTCCAAGGGTTGAAAGATATATATAATAATAGTTCAGAAAACAAAATTAGTTATTATAATAGTTAACTATTTAAATATTATTATTTATTGTTTAAATCTATTACACTGTTACATGTTTTTTTAGAAAACGCTGATTTTACCAGAAACAAACAATTCGACCAAATTCAAAATGTCATTGAGCTGCCATTAAGTAATATTCAAAAACCTTTAGAATCACTACAGCTGCCTATAAATGAATATTTTAAAGTTTTTGTATCTGCCTTCGAAACTCCAGAACATATTTGGGTGCAATATCTACACAGTGAGTCTCAATCTTTAGATGCATTAATAAAAGAGATGACAGAATTGTATGGAGGAAAGCAATCTCAAATTGCTAGGTTGGAAAAAGGTCAGAAAATTTTTTTTTTTTTAATAATTTTATATATATGTTTTACTTTATATATATTCTTTAATAACTTATTTATTTTTTTGTTTTGTGTGTTAATTGCTATTATTAGCTAGCACTATTATACTATTTAAACAGTTGCGCTATTATAACATTGAAAAAATAATTTTCCATGTTATAATAGGATTTGTATAATCCTTTTTTTTTTTAATTTCCCACAAAAATTTGAAAAGTTCTGTTGAGTTTACTCTTGCATTAAAAATGTTTGTACTAACGGTTTTTAAAAGTATTTTCTTTTAGTCCAATATAATTGAATCCACTATCTTGCAGTAAAGTTTTAACTTTACAACTGTATATTATATATTTTTTGACACATTTTTTTTCTTTCTAAATGATGTTTGTCAGCAGTTGCATGATTGGTTGGTTAGGGTGTTAATACCAGATCAAAATTTTGGAATTAGAAATCACAAGGTAAAGCATTTTGGCTATGACATTTATCTTACAGGATAAACTAGTTATTATTATTGTTTCTTCAAAACGCATAATAATAGACGCAAATCTGAGGAGAAGTTTATTTATTGCTTTTTACTGATCAAAACAGCAGTTGTGCCAGCATGTTAGTCTTTATCCTGCATATGATAAGCAGCATACATGGATTGCAATTAAATGAGTTTTAGAGACTATGGACTGTTCTCTTTTTTTAGCAGAATCCAAAAAATTAAAGAAAAATCTTGTCAACCTTTTTAAGGATAGCTTCAATCTAGAATTAAGGATTTTAACTTTTAAGGATTTTAAGGATTTTAATCTTTTAAGGATTTTAACTTCAATCTAGAATTAGGGGTAAAAACAAATTTGAAAATGTAAGTTATTTAAAAATTGCGTTTAATTTATCTGACATATCCTTCCAACTTTTCAGAAAACCAGGTGACCACCCTCTGTTCATTAATGGCAATTCAAACCACCCTCCTTATATTACTAAATCCAAGCCAATAAAGTTGTTTTTAATAAAGCTGCACCTTTTTTTAATAAAGCCTTGGCATTTAGTGAGTATAAAAAAAAAATCTTTTAAGCAGAATCTTAACGCAACAAAATTAAAATCAAGACCACATAAACTTTATAAACTCTTCAACAAAAACAACTTAAATCTCGCTTACTAGCTACAGCTGTTTTCCTAGCATCAAAAATATAATTACAGCCCACAATAAAAAAGTTTTATCTGTTATTAACACTCAACCAACCAATCATACAACTGCCAACAAGCTTCACAATGTCCTAATGTGTGTGTGTTTTTCTATATTTGTGCATTACCTTTTTAAACAGGAACAATAGGGGATATTTGTGTAGCTCCTTTTGACAATGACAGTGGAGAGATGTTTAGAGCTTGTATAAAATCAGTTAACTTAGATTCTCGAACTGTTGAACTATTTTATATTGATTTTGGAGACACAGGATATCAAGATATTGACCAACTCAAACAAATAAGGTAAAAGTTTTTAATAAAGTTCTTAATCTTAAAATTAAGTTTTTAATTTCCTCTAATCATTATTATCTTGTTATTTTGACTTGTTATTCTGATTCAAAGTTTATTTTTTATTTTGGTCCATTTTAAGATCCGAACATCTAGTGCTTCCTCCGCAAGCTGTTGAATGCTACCTGCCAATTTCTGCAAAGGGTTAGATTGTTATAGAGAGTATTTTGAAATAACTACTTATTAACATATTTATGATACAGTATTAAAACTTAAAAAAAAAATTTTTAATTTCTTTTTACAAATGTTGACATTTATCTAGATATTTTGGAGAAATATTGTGTTCATTAGTAAGAATAATAACATAATATAGATCATGTTATTCAAAGATAAACTTTTACTTACTTGCTTTAAAGCAGTGTAAGTGAAGGTAATGTTGGTTAAAAAAAGTTTGATTTTACCATTATTCAAGTCAGACAATTTGCTACTAATATTTTTTAGTTTTAAAAAACATATTGATATTTTTATTGTTTGATAATAATAATAGATTGCAATTAATAAACTTGTTCTATTGTCATTTGTGCATAATGTTTTTTAAAGTAATCAATACTGCTTTTTTTTTTTAATTTGATTTTTAATCTTTATTAAAAATCAATTTATATCTTAATCTTATCAAACTATTTTATATATATATATATATATATATATATATATATATATATATATATATATATATATATATCATTTATACCACAAACTAGTACTATAAGAGTTTTTAGTTTTAATAAAATAACTAACTTCTAGCTTCTTCATTAACTAAATGAGCACAAAAGATCAAAAAATTCCTGCAATCGGTTAGACTTATTGTTGTAGGATTAATTATATCTGATGATAAAAAGTTTGTTAATGAGCATTGTAAAGCTCGTTAACTTTTTATCTTATTTTAGCTTAATAAGATTTTCTGTAATATTGCAAAAAATGGAGAAGTTAGTTTTTTTTTGGCTTATTTGATCAGTTTTTTGCACCATTAAAAATGGGGTTCTATCATCTAAAGTTCATTTTTTTCTTGATTGGTCACAAAGTTTTTTGCATCTTTAATAGTGGGATTCTATCATCTAAACTTCATTTCTTATTGGATTGGTCTCGAAGTTTTTTGCATCTTTAATAGTGGGATTCTATCATCTAAACTTCATTTCTTACTGGATTGGTCTCAAAGTTTTTTGTATCATTAAAAATGAGATTCCATCACCTAAACTTCATTTCTTACTAAATAGTCTTGTTTTACATACAAGATGGTTTATTACTTTTAAAAGAATATGTAAATCTAAACAAAGATGGAAGGTAAAGGTTCAGAAAATTAAATCACTGAATTCAATGCGGTGTTTCTTTGTTGGTTTCTGATCAAATTTAAACATTCTTGAATTTAAGGTCCTTAACATGTACTTTATTAGCTGCAGTAACTCATTTCAGAAAGTAGATGCTTCTAAAATATTACTATCCATTCAAAGACCAGCTTGATTTTGTTTCAGTGAGTGTTTATGTTAAACATTGTTGTGTTCAAATTTTGAATAAGTTAGAAGTTTAGCTATTAAAATTGTACTGGAAATGAGGATTTACAAAAAGGCTAAGTTCGTATTAAATAACAAGAAAGACTTCTATTCTGAACTTGCTGTGAAGTATTTAGAGCTAATATTATAGGTATCACATGTTTATAAACCACCCTTAACTATTTCTTTAACAACTTCTGAAAATAAGCAATTTTTATCGAAGCTTGAAGGTCTTAAAAAGACCTTGTCATGGGTAATCTGTCAAACATTGTGTAAAATAAGTTACAGATGCTTTGAGTAGAGTGCACACTCACAAAAAGATGTTTTAAAGTAGCAATAAATAGATCTTGAAAGTTTGACAGAAATATTTTTGTACAGTTAGCGTAGGATTTTTGAGGACATCTGACCACAGTGAGAATAAGACGTTTTAAAGTAGCAATAAATAAGATCTTGAAAGTTTGACAGAAATATTTTTGTACAGTTAGCGTAGGATTTTTGAGGACATCTGACCACAGTGAGAATAAAAGATTTTTATATAACTGATACATCTAACTCTTATCATCCCTTTTTATCTTTTTAAACTATTTCAGACATCTTTATCATCACTTATTATCTTTTTAAACTATTTCAGACATCCTTATCATCTATTTAACAAGAAAATTTAGATAAAGTTGTTACACTATAATAGGACAATCTGTGTTTAGAAAACTACTGATAGTTCTTTAAAAAATTATTTTGAATATAATATTAGTTTTATCTGTAAATTTGTCACTGGTATATAATTGTTTTTTGAATTCAATGTACAGGTTCTAATTTTTTAAAAAGCTTTTACTCTTTTGTAAAAGTTCTTAAGTACAAAGCTTCATTTTCATCTTCTTTTTTTTCATTTACATCTTTTTAATTTACATTTAAATTCCAAATATAAATACTTTATTAGATTTTAAAAAAGTTCATTAATTTTAAACAAAAAAATGAAATTTTTTTTTTTTTTGAATAAACAAATCAAAAAAAAAAAAAAAAAAAAATCACGTTTTTTACAAATTCAAGTTTTAAAACTAGATTTGGATTCTCCAGAAAATTGTAATTTTTAATAATCCTCCTCCCCTCTTAATAAATTTTGGAAAATTAACTCTTCCCAGTTACTATTCCAAAATTTATGCCCTCAGTAGTAGATTAAAAAAAAGTTTCTTTTTTTTTTCATCCTTTTCTAGTTTATAAATTTAAGTCACAAATTTTTATTTTACTTATATTTTATTAGATAGTGATTGGTCAGATGAAGCTTTAGAACATTTTGAAAATATTGTTCACTGCTCACAATGGTTACCACTGGTGGCAAAAGTCATAGGATACAAAAATACTGATACTGCTAAATATCCTATACTTCAGTTGGTTGATAGCACAGAAGAAAAGGTACACTTGTCAGTATATATATATATATATATATATATATATATATATATATATATATATATATATATATATTAAAGTTTAAAAAAAATTTTTTTCAGTTTTAAATGCATGATACAAAAAAAAGCAGTATCACCAACTCTGGGTTCGTCACTGTATATATATATATATATATATATATATATATATATATATATATATAAATCTTTTACCTGTTCCTGTATAGAATATTATCATATTTGTTATTCTAATGATGGTCTTAATCTTTTGAACAAGGTCTTTAAATGCTTTGTAAATTTTAGTCCTGTTTTGGTTGCCAATCATAAGCCTCTCTCCCAAGTGTTGTGAGTGCTGTGATGTTTCTGATGATGATCGTGCAATATTGGGTTTATTTAGTCAAATTTCATATTTATAATCAATTTTCATATTTTCAATAGGTTGAAGTAAATGGCAGAAAGTAATAACACTTTCTCGGCTTTCAGTTAACAATTAATGTTTAGTTTTATAACTTCTTAATAACTTATAACTTTATAACTTCTTGTTGTAAATTTCTAATAATAAACTGAAGTTTGACGCTTAATAATTCTCAAGAAATGTAAAATAGAAATGCAATATTTTTACTTAGAGAATAAAAAACTGGACAGTTCCGTTGGTCACTTTTTGCAATCATTGTGTCTCATAAACAATTATAAATATTTTTATAATTGTTTATGCGTCATTTTAACCAAGCATTACCAATAGCAACAGTTATTAAACATTTATTCAAATAATTATGTTATTCTACTCTAATAAAAAGTGAGTTGAAAAAATGTATTGAAAATATTTATATAGAAAGCAGATTTTTTTAAATTGCATTTTTCCAATGGTTTCAAAATAATTCATAAAAAGCCACTATAAAATCTGTTTCAAAACAATTAATATCACTTAAGATAAAAAGTAAAATTGAGATATAATCAAATTGTATTTATAGAAAAGTTTTTTGTCTTAGCTTTTAGTGAATAATCATTTTTATTAGACTCAGTGAGTCTGGCTCAGTGAGTTCTGATATTGAAACTGCCTAATAATCATTGTAAGCGATAGACATCAACAGGAAAGTAAGGCTGTCTATCAAAAGTAATGACTTTTGTTTTTCTATAATTATCTTTCAAATATTATACAGTTTAAGATTTTAATACAAAAATATAAAAATTAGGTTTACTATAACAACAACTGGCTTCCCAGTAATAAAATTTGTTTTGTAAAAATTTTTACAAAAAATATGGTGTTTTATAGTAAAGCAATAATTGTAAGTTCTTATAATAATATAGTAATAAAGACTAAATATCAAATGACACAAGCTTTATTGCTAAATGCATATAAAAAAATTGCAAAACTATTCTTAAGTCATTAAATAAAATCAGAAAAATTTTAAACATATATGATAAGTTTTTAAGTATAATAAATATACTGTTTTCAAAAGTTATCATATATTAAAAGATATAATGAAACAATAAGTGCTGGTTTGCAAAGAACTTAAAAGCAAGATAAAAAAATAAAAACAATGACAAGAATAACCTTGCAACAACAATTAAAAACAACCTAAGTTTAAAATTTAATAATTTACTCAACTTTTTGTTTAGTCAATAGTTTTACACATGCTAAACATCAGTTAAGGAAACTAAATACAAAATTATAGTATAAAAATACAGATATTACTAATGGTATATATATTTTTTTTCTTTTTTAATTGTAAGTTACTTTTAAAAGTCCTATCACAGGGTCTTATCACAGAACACTGTGAAGGAGTGTTTAACTAGGAAGTTCACTTTTCCTTCCTTATCTATATCTTAATATATATATTATAAGTTGTAGAATGTAAAAGAATATAAACTTCAAAACATAAGTAATAAATTTATAAAGAGATAATTTTTAAACCATGTGAAAAAAGTTTACTTAACAAAAGAATTTGCTAAAAAAAAAATTTTTAAGGTTTTTTTGTAGTACAAAAACCATCATCATCTTCTTAATATTGAGCAACTTATTAATGCTCATTTATTTGACAAAACTCACAGCAGCTATTACACCCGAGTTAAAGCAAGAAAGAGTCGCTACACTATTTTCTATAAGAAAATGTGAATGAAAGTGTATACAAATATATAACTTATGTAAACTTCAAAATTTAAATCCTTTCGCTTGTGCATTTTATTTTATTTTTTTAATCTTTTCCAATTTTCTATATTACAAAATAAAACATTTTTAAAGTACTTAAGATATTATATACATAACATATGGGTAAAACATTTTCAAAAAACACAAAAAAACACAAATCTGCACCCTACAACACTAAATTTTCTGAAATTTGGCACAAATGTTTAGAGACATAACTTAGGAAGGACTGTAAATTTTTTTAGTAAAATTCTTATCCGTTTAGGATTTACAGCAACTTGAAGCTTGTTTGATTTTGACTGAAAAATGAGGGGGGAAAAGTGCCAAACATATTTTTGTTTATTATTATCCTTAATTGTAATGGTGCAATTCTAAAACTTTGTACCAAAAAAGCTTAAAACCTGTTAAGTTCCAAAACTTTAGTTTTATATCTCTCAAAGCAAGGCAATGTAGTTTATTCTAGGATTCATAAAATATACCTAATAATGACAATAAAAAAGGGCATTGACAGTTATAGCTATAAAAAAAATCTGACTGATAAAAAAATAATTTATTTTTATTTTCTTAAAGATAAGATGTATATCAACTTTAGGAAGCAATTTTTTTTTTTTTTGGCCTTACGATTACTTGAGGAGTTATTGAGTTATGATATGAACACAAAATTTTGTAATAATTTTAAAATCAGGCAATCTATCCCAACATTTTACAAATTAATAAAATTAGAAATTAACAATTTAGTAACTTAATTGTTTCTATTATTTTTTTTTACAACAAAATTATAAGGTATAAAAAAAGGTTTTGAAAAATAAATACTCAATTTAAGTGATTTTATATATGCTTTTCATTCACATTATTCATAAATTGTACAAAAAATAAAGATTAAAAAAAAAGTATGGGTAAGACATCAGACTCAACTAACTTGAAATTAGTTTAAATGTAAAAATCTCTATTTCCTAAGGAAAACAATTTTTTTTTTGGTTGTCTTTGGCTAAATAATTTTATACACCATGTTCACATCATGCATCTGAAACAATAAAATAAGATTTGTGATTGAGAAAACCTTCTTTTTTGAAATAAATAATCACAGGATGAATTGTACATTGTAAATTTGTTTAATGAAAGATTTGTACTTAATCCTGAACTGCAAGTTTTATGTTTTTTGAAAAATCACCCAAAAACAATGGTGTTAACCTGTTCATATCTTCCTTTCTTGATCTCAGGCATGATGCTTGACTCTTAGCTAAAAAAGAGTGTGGTGCAAGTTTTGTCAGTTTTTTACATACTAGTTCATTGTATTCAGACACTGGCTCTTTATTATGTGTTAAGTTTGACCTATCTGTTGTTGTCCACTGATCAAATTCTATGTCATCCTCATCTTCAACTCTCCAATTAAATTATAAAGTTTTTCAACCAATGCATTCCTAGTTGCATTTACGCATCATACAGTCTTTATTAGTCCTGTCACATACAATACAAGGTAACAGTTCTTTGTATGTCATACCAAAAGGATGTAAAAGCAGTTTTAAATTCTGATGAATAGCACAGAAGCATACTAAATGTGTTCCTGAAGCACCAGCAGTAATACACCATTTTAATTTCTATATTTAGGTGCCCCAAGAAGTCCTAATGGTCTTGTCACTGAGCACCGCGCAAGTGTATTTAACCAGAAAGTTCACGCCTCCTTCATTACTGTGACGCTCATTTCAATCCAAAGCTCATTTCAAACCTGAATCTCCTGCTTATAAAGTAAGCGCTCTAACCACTGCGTCATGACCGCTTGAAACCTTGAAAACCCATTTTTATTTCTGGATTCATGGTTTTGAAAGCAACAAACAATTCCTTTAAATTACATTTACATTACAATTAGTCCTTTTTACCAGGCATTATATGGCTATATTCATCATCTTCATAAAAAGTCTTGACCAGTTGAACTGTTACATCAGGAGCAACCTTTCCTAATTTAGGATTAGACATGACTAAAATACCTTTTTCTAATGCTAATTTACGTGCAGTTCAAGCTACATAGTTTGTTACATGTAATGTTTCAGAAACTTTTTTTATTGACCAGTTAGTTGGAACAAGCGTTGTCAATTGTATTTTTTTTAGATGCTGTAGATGTTTTGGACTACTATGTAGACTCTGCAATTTTATTAGAAATTAATACCATCATGTTATATGTTAAGTCCAACCATGCAACATTTTTTCCTTTGAATGTTGCGGCATTATATCTTTGATTATTCCTTTATACATGTTTTTGTCTATAATGCCTTGAACTCGATAGAATAGACCTACTCCAACACAGCTAAAACATGACCAAATCATTACCGAACCACCACTATGCTTAACTGTAGGAACTTGGTACTTAACATCATTTCGGAGACCTACTGGACATCAAACATATTAAGTACCATCAGAACTAAACATGTTAAACGTTGACTCGTCACTCCATAGTATTTTTGACCATTCTTTTCCTGTCCAATTTAAATGTTTTTTAGCAAATTGTAACCATGCTCTATGATTGGTACTTAACATCATTTCGGAGACCTACTGGACATCAAACATATTAAGTACCATCAGAACCAAACATGTTAAACGTTGACTCGTCACTCCATAGTATTTTTGACCATTCTTTTCCTGTCCAATTTAAATGTTTTTTAGCAAATTGTAACCATGCTCTATGATTTTTTGTAGAAACAAAAGGTTTTTTAACAGGATGACGACCAAACAGGTTGTTTTGTCATAGGTGATACTTTACTGTTGCATAAGAGCATAAAATTTGATATGACTGTGAATTCTTTATGAATTTCCTAAGCACTTTTGTACGGATCTACCTTTGACGACCTTACTATAACATTGTCTTGACAAAAAGTTGTTGATTTGGGGCGTCCTGACTTTGTTAAAGCCTGGAAATGATTCTGTTGTTTAATGTATAACCAACTATTGATCGCAGAATGTTCATATCTATTGAAATTTGTCTCACACTCTTACCATTATTAAATCTTTTTACAATTAACTTTTTTTCACTGCCTCGGTAAAATATTTATTATGTCTGATTATAAATGATTGATTCTTGAATGTTTTTACAAAAATCTGTCTTCTGAAAAAGAAGTTTTAATAGTCAAAGTTGTTTCAAAGTCGTTAGAATTTAGTTTGTCTAATTACTTTTGAGCCAATCAGTTTCATTCTTTTAATAAAGTTTTAAATAATTACTCACAAAAGTAAATTTTTATTTTGTTTTTCATAATTGTCATATAATTTGACATGCTTATGCAAAATTTCTTTTTAAAATGTTTACTCATTGAGAAAATATTACAAAAAAGGTGTTTGTCTAATTACTTTTGGACGCTACTGTATAAGATTTAAACCTACGATTTCTGCTTCTAATACAGTATGTATTGTAATCACATGTAGAGATGCTGAGAAGAAAATGTAACTGTATTACTCAAATACTATAATATTAGTTATACTATTATTATAAAACGATGAACAAATCCTATTGCAAAAAAGTTATAAACAACTTATTAAGAATGGTATTGCCCATTAAAACCTAAATATACAAACTTTTACCTCTACACACTTTTTTGTGAGTCAGAAATGGATTGCAACAACTTTTCTGATTACTCTTATATTTCACTATTAACATATCACAATGATGTGTGCATATACTAGTAATTTGTTCTTTTTTTAAAGTTTGTTCATTTTACAAGTAATTTATGATCATTCCTGTCAATATCTTCAATCAGATTTCTTACTTGGGTATATATAATTGTTTATAACAAGCTCCATAATTATTTACAAATGAACAATTCATTTTGTTATCCATATAAAATTATGAGGAATTATAATCAAAACACTTTAATAGAAGAAATCTTAAAAATCTTAAAAATTCATAATGAGCAAAGTACACTTGAACACAAACAATATGTTTAAAATAAAAATAAAGTTATATTTATAAAGAACATATTGTTTGAACAAATAGCTATTAGTTTTAATAGACATATTTTAAATGCCTAATTATCTACTAATTATTGTCAATTCTCCACTAATTATCTGCCAAAAATTAGGGTGAAAGTAGATTATAACTAAATATAATTATATTGAGTTATAATTTAACAAGGTAATATTTATTTGATATTATTATGTACACTTGTCATTTTATTACTTATTTTATTGATGAGATAATCACTATTTTATTACAATAAATCAATAAAAAAAAGATTACATAATATTGTTTAATTTAATGACACAACTATTATGTAATGAAAATAACATAAAAATAACATGTTATGTAATGAAAATAACAAATTTATAAGTTTACAAAATATTTAACAATATTTTGTAACAACTTTGTAAAAATATAAATCGCATAACACACATACTGTTTTTTTAAATATACTTACTCAAAATTAGATTAAAAACAAATAAAAATGAATTTGCTCACCTTGTTTTTTTTAATTTCTTCAGAAAAATTGAAAAACTCCTCAGCAAAACATAAGACCAAAACAAAATTGGTTCGTAAAGTAGACATCTGTCTGACCTTTAAGAAAATTGAAACAAAATTTTTTTTCTATCAGTCTGATTTTTTCTAGAGCTAATTTTTGTCAATGCTCTTTTTTATTGTCGTTAGTTAGTGCATTTTGTAGATCTTAAAATAAACTATATTTTGTTATTTTGAGAAATACAAATCTATAATTTTCAAATTAAACAGGATTTAAACTTCTTTGGTACCAAATTTTAGCTTTGCAAAATTACTACAAGCACCTTATAAGGGTAATAGTAAACAGACACATTTCTGGGCCCCCCCCCCCTCATTTTTTAGTCAAAATCTAACAAACTTTAAGTTGCTGTAATTCTTAAAGAAATAAAAAAATTTTGAAAAAAATTCAGTCTTTCCTATCTTACATCTTTACACATTTGAGCCAAATTTCAGCGAATTCGGTGATGTGTAGGGTGCAACTCCTTGTTTTTTGAAAATTTTTTACTCATATTTAAAGATATATACTGTAACAAACAAAAGAAAACTCTTTTTCTTATAGGAAAAAAGATTTTACATTCAAACTTATTTACTTCAAAGTTAATTAAAGAGGCAAGGGTCCTAATAAGCTGCAGATAATCTGAAAAAAAAAAATTAATAAAAACCTAATAGAAACTTAAGAAATAAAAAAATTAATAAGCCTATCGCTGTTTTTTTTTAGAAGTTATTAAGTTAAACATTAATTGTTAACTCATCGAAAAATATAGAAACGGTCGGTGTGGAATAGACTTTGGAAGTCAATTATTCCACATATTTTTAATTTTATTTTTACATGTTTGTTATCGAAAAATGTAGAAACGGTCGGTGTGGAATAGACTTTGTAAGTCAATTATTCCACATATTTTTAATTTTATTTTTACATGTTTTTAAACTTTTTTACCAATTATAATTAATCAACACATTTCAAGTGGAAATATTATTTAGACAGGTACTAATATACGAACCGCTGATAAATAGCGATTTGCGCAACTCTACCGAAACATTTAATAAATTTTAAAGTTAATTGTAAATTTTTGACAAGGATAATTATTTAAGTGCAAAAGTTTAACTTTTGCACTTCTTTTATTTTAAAAGCTTTTATTTTGTTATCTTATTTTAAAAGCTTTTAGTACTTTAGGAAAGTTGAAGTGTCCCAGTAGACTTTATTATTTAAAAATTTTTTAGAGCTTTACAAGTTTTAAGTTACTCAAGTCTTTGTTATTTTAAAAAGTCATAGAACTTTAATAAGCACAAATAATCACAAGATATAATAATAAATTATCTTTACAAATACAATTAATCTTTAAAGATAATTTTTTTTTACTTTTATGTGAAAATACTATGTCATGTGCCAGGATTTACTAAAATTTTTGACCTGACCAAAAAAAAATATATAAGAATGTAAAGATTTTTCAAGTTTAACTTATTTTAGATAAGATTATGTTTGTTATATATTTTAGTATAAGAGACATTTTATTTGTTTGAATTTTAAAAATTTGAGATTTAAGCATTTTTGGGTGTCAGTGCAGATTGAACTTTTTTTTTCCATTCCAAATAATTTCTATCGAGCATTGTAAAAGTTAAGGTAACGCACCTTAACTTTTAAAACTGTAAAACTTAATATCACAGCAGCAAAATATGTTTCTATTGTATTCAAAAATCATCACAAAATATATTTAGTTTCTGCAAAAGCAGAAAATAAAACCTTTTTCCTAGTCAATATATTTAGAGTTATTAGAACGTTAGTTAGAATATATTAGAACGAGATTTTGTCTTTACTACTATTATAACTTTCTACGGATGCACATACATATATACTTACAAACATGCATATATAGTCTAATAACTTGTCAATAATAATTTTAGGAATTGCATATATGTGACGATATGGTTCAAAAAGGTTATGCGATTGATTTATCAAAACATTTTATTGAAAATGATGGTTTATTAACAACACTAGGTACGAATTACATAAATAAAATTAAAAAGTGTGTTTTATTGTGTTTTAATTACATTGCATGATTTATTATAGATCATCCAAATAATAATGAGTATGCATATTTTGAATTTGAAACGTGTCTTAGTAATGTCAAACCTGCAGATGTTAAAGGTGTACAAGAAGATATCTGTAATGAGTTAGACAGTGGTAATGTTTTCCATGAGAATTTAAAATTTTCAGAAAATCATACCGATGAGACGAATCATCAAAGAACTATTTTTGAAGATTGTTTTGAAGAAAAACAAAATAGGGATCAGCATCTAGAAAATCAGTTTCTTGATGATGATGAATTCATTATTAATACCCCTAATAAGGTTACTGAACAATTGGAAGAATGTGGTATAATAAATTCGTTAATGTCTGGAGTTGCTATTCAAAATAAAACATCTTCAGAAAGTAGTACAGACTCGCTTTGTAATATACCGACTCCTAAGTCTACGTCATCGCGGCATTCCTCTGATGATTTTGTTAATATTAACGATAATACTTTGAGTGGAGCGATATTATCAGTTGTAAATGAACATTTATCGGACAATCTTAACAGAGACGAAGAGTTTAAGGAGCTCAACGGAGATATAAGTAAGTCAAGTGAAGAAATAATAGTGAATGAATTCACTGAACTTCAAAAGTCATTAGAGGAAACGAGTCGAAAAAATGTTAAAAGTATGGAGTTTACTAGTGATGACGATGATGATACTGGGTCGTTTTTCAGTGCACGTTCAGAGGTGACGATTACCGATATTGAAGACGTAAATGCAGAAGACCTATCAACAATAGAGAGCGATATTTCAGTCAACATTCCAGATTTTTCTTCCGTTGAGTTGTTAGAGGCAAAATCTATTAATGACTTTTATGATTCAATGCATGATTCACTTTCAAAAGGACCGGTTTACACCCAAAAGAATGGATTACCTTACAGCATTCAAGTTATAGACGAAAAAAAGAAAATGGGTTTGTCTAGTGAGTCAAATAAAGTTTCAAGTAAAGATCATATAAATGGTTTTTGATAAATTTTATTTATGAAAGTTTTGTTAAAATGTTTAATATTTTACCAGTTATCTTGTTTTAGTGAAATAAAAGCATGAAATGTTACCATAGTGATGTTTAAAAAAAAAGTGTAACTTTTTTTATAATTTTATCTTATATTTTATCGCGGCATCTTGTAATACTGTATTATATGTAATATATACGTTTGCTCATAGTCAATAGAAATCCTGGTCTGGAAAAGCTATTGTTTCAGTCTTATTTTAAAACCGTATCTTGAAAAATGCATAAAAAGTAGTCACGTGATCAAATCTAGTGCAAAACAAATTTTTAAATAGCGTTTTCTGAAGAACAGGCGAAACGCTTGATTAGGCCGGGTGAATAAAAATGAGCAATTGCTTTTACTCAGTAATTGGTCAGCTTTACGTGAATAAAAGCATTAGGAGTTTTGCTCAAATTTTTATTCACGTAAAGTTAAACAATTTACTTAGTGAATTTTCGGCTTTACGTAAATAAAAACTTAGGGAAAATTCGTTTAGCTTTTATTCACGTAAAGCTGACCAATTACTGAGTAAAAGCAATTGCTCGTTTTTATTCACCCGGCCTAATATATAATAATTATTAATGCTGATGATGAATATTTTGATAATGCATTATTAGAGGTAATAATAATGTTTAAATTTTAATTAGAATGGTTTATTTTGGTGTAAAGGTTAACGCAAATGATTAAGTCAAATTAAAAAAACATTTTTAAAAGTTATTGTATCTTATTTTTGTATTTACTGTTAATAATCGTACTAAAATAATATATATATATAATAGATGCTATATTAGGTAACCGATATTGGAGACTTCAAGTGCAAAATTTGCAAATCCAAAACGTATAAAACAAAAGGAGGCTTAGCACGACACAATAAAAACAAACATACCATAAAGAGTCAAACAGATATACATTATAATGATTTTGTCACAGATATAAAAAAAATTGTTGCAGAAACTAAAGCTGATTTGTCAACAAATAAAGTTTATCCTGAAGAAAATATTTCAGAAATAAAAGACTTTGAAATAAAAATAACAGAAAACTTTTTTGACGAAACAAGAAAAATGTCAAAAAATTTAAAATCATCTGGAAATGCTGAAAAATATTATTCCAACTTTTATAGCAATATTGTTCTCTTTTCAGACACATATTTTAATCTAAAGAAACCTGCATCAACAGTATTTACAACAAAGTTATGCAATATATTATTTCACTATTTTCAAAGCTCTCCTTCAAAGAATGTTGAAGTTGAAGAAATTTCACCACGTGAAGTGGATGGATTAAATATTTGTCTGGGTATGTTATAAGAAATCTACTTAAAAAGGAAAAAACAACAAAAAATTACAAAAGCCAGTACAATCAAGCTATAATTGCATTATTACTTCAAACAACTAAAGAAGTTTCAAGTTCAGAAAAGTTAATAAATACCCAAAACAGAGGGGGTTTAACAGCGGTATGTGAAGAATGCTATCAGATTTTCTTGCTAGCTGAGAAACATTTTAAGAAACTGCAGTTGCTAACCTCCGAAATATTGAAAGTAAGAATTTAACAAAACACCTATTAAAGGATCCTAATATTATAAGTTTTTACAATGCAATCGTGGATGATGTGAAATTCGTGTCTATTGATAAGGAAATTAAGCTTAACTTGTTAGAAAAAATGATAGAACTTTATTTTAGAGTTCGTACATTTTCATTGGCTAAAAATATAACTGCAAAAAACAATGATCCAAGTTTTAAAGAAAAATCTTTAAGAAAAAGTATAAAACGTAAATCAAACAATAAATAAAGACTTAAACTTAAAACTTAATACAAGTAATTGATATATTTTGTTATATGCTATGTTTATATTTAGATTATATTTATAGGTTTTTTTTTCGTTTTGGTAACTTTTCATTATCAACAACACTCCAAGATACCTCACATTTTTGACCATGACCACCTTTATAGTATTTCCTAGTATTTATCCTTTATAGTATTTATTAGTATTTCCAGTAACCGGCGCAATTGATCTTTGCAATCGCAAGGTATTTGACGTGTAGGGTTGTCATTTCTTCGACCTAAACTTCGTTGTCTACCAAAGTATTCCTCCAAAACGCCTTGATTGAATTTTACAGTCAAAACAAACGGCATACCACTTTTTAATAAAAATTTTACCAATTCGATAACAGACATTAAGTCCTTCGTATGTTTGCCAAGAGATAAACATTCTTCTTTTTGCATTGTTGGAAAAGTTACCAGGACGATTAATAATACACTCTTTCCATTTTTCTACAGGGTTGCCACCAAATCAGGGAATTCAGGGAAAATCAGGGAAATTTAGATACAATCAGGGAAAATGATTGATTTAGGAAAAAATCAGGGAAAATCAGGGAACTTTTTAATTTTTCTTTAATGTTTTGATATTTTTTCTAATAGAAATCTTACTTTTCAAGGGTACCAGGGTTAATGTTTAACATTTTACCAATTTAAGGGTACCAGGGTTAATGTTTAACATTTAACAAGAAACTTAATCATATTGTGTTTACATTAATTTAATGTTTGCAACTCAATCCTTTATTTGAAAAATGGGCAGTGTAAATAAGTCTGCCAAGTGCAAAATATAAAAAATTGAATTTAATTTGTCAAATATGCAGATGAGTTATGATAAGTTACATGGATGGCAAAAAGCATGCAAAAAAGTCAAAGCCAGTATCACGCCTGCACAGTCTACACCTATAAAGCAAGCACTTCAAACAGTATATTAATGTGATAAAAGTTGTACAGAAATCTACTCTGTTTTAAATGCAATACAGAATAATTTTTCATTAAACTCATGTAATGAAAATGGCCTACTTTACCAGAAAATGTTCCCTGATAGCAATATTGCTAAATCTTATGAAATGAATGAAACAAAACTTGGTTATATAATTAATTTTGGTAATGGGCCTTAATTTTACAGACTTTTAACTAAAAATATAAAAAAATCTCCTTATTATACTCTTTCACTCGATGAAAGTCTGAACTATTTTTTAAAAATGGTCTATTAGATCTAAATATTCAGTTTTTGAACATCCATCTAAATCATGTTGAATCCAGATACTTTGACTCTAAATTTTTAGGTCACCCTACAGCAAAGAATTTACTGTAGTATTTACAAAGTATGACTCAACTAAGTATAAAAGGTACAAATGTGAACTGGTCCCTTCTTAATCTTCTTGAAATACAGCATGATCAACAAGAGCTACCTAAACTTCTTAACGTTGGGAGCTGTAACCTCCATTTAATACATGGTTTCAAATCAGGTTTTCAATCAGCTGAATGGAATAAGAAGTTAATGGAAGCATCATACAACCTTTATTTATGATTCTTCGGCTAGAAGAGCTGATTTTGTAACTGTTACTGAATGTGAGTGTTTTCCTTATGCATTTTGCTCAAAACATTGGATGGTAGATCAAAAAGTTGCAGATAGACTTTGTTTAATTTGGGAGAATGTTAAAAAAACTAACCAAGTATTGGGAGACCTTTCTTAAAAGTAAGCAACCAAAATGAAAGAGCTATGACAAGTGTTTGGGACAGAGTTGTTAACAAGGCCAAAAGTATCAAGACCAAGGCCAAGGCCACACGTTACAAGTCCAAGATCAAGGTCAAAAGTTAAAAGGCCAAGGACAAACCGAAGGCCAAGAGTTTAAGGCCAAGGTCAAAATTAAGAGTTTCAAGGCCAACGTCTACACAAACATTTTTAAGACTAAATACTTTAACTTTTGCCTTGCGTTAAGGCCAATTATTAACACAACTGTAAGTAGCAAGTGGTGTGACAATAAAACCACATTTTTTAAAAATAGACCAAGGGTATGGGCAGAATTAAACAAAATCAATAAGAAAATTCGTTTTTTTTTATAGGCTAAGACCAAAATTTTTAAGGTCAAGACCAAGTCGAAGGCTAACAGTTTCAAAGCCAAGATTAAGGCCAAGGCCTCAATTTTTGGTCTTAAGGCAAGGTCAAGGCCAAGAACTAGCAACTCTGATTCGGGGGAACAAAAGATGAGTTAACTTTGACTAAATTGTAGTTTTTTGGTTACATTGCAAGTTTTTTGCAGAAAATCTTACTGAGATATCAAACGAATGCCCCAATGATTCTTTTTCTTTTTGAAGATTTGTTCTCAACTGTTAAATGTTTAATGGGTTTAATTATAAAACAAGATATCCTTAGCAGCATCGTTGATGGCAGGCAACTTCAAAAATATAATTTTACAAAAAAGGAAAACTTTCTGCTATTAAAATTAATGACAAATGGATTTGCTGCAGAACATGACATAATCGAATTGAGGAAAAAAGATGCATTATCATTATTTAAAAGATTACGTCTCATTATCATTGGAATTCTAGAAAAAATATTTGAAAGAAGTTTGAATCGAATTTTTTTTCTGAAAGCAACTGGTTGCATCAGTCCAGTGTCAAATTTTTCTTAACAAAAAGCTGATCTTCATCAGATGAAATCTGTACTACATCTAGTTCTTTCTTGCTCACATATTACTTCAAATGAATGTGATCAAGCTTTCATAAAATTTTTAAAGTTGTTAGAGGAAAGTTCATCTATTCTTTTACTTGTATTCAAATATTTTTACACTGGAAATTGTTTAAACAAGTTTCATTTTGAAACCATTAAAGTTAGTGTAGATTATATGATTTTTTCAAAAGTTTTGATATTTATTTTGGGCAAGCATCAATTGAGAGAGGCTTAAGTTTTACCAGTAATATGCTCAGTGAAAAAATGAAAGGAATGTCACTTATATCTCATTGCACTATCAAGGATTTTATGGAGTCAAACAAATTGAAGGCTAACAAAATAGAAATAAACAATGAAATGATAAATGCTGTTTGTAGTGCATCATTACAATATAAAAACTATTTGGAGGAAAATAGAAAACTCCAAGCAAAAGAAAATAGCGTGATAATGCTTTTAGATCAAGAAATATTGGGACTTAGAGAAAAGTAAAAAGTATTAAAAGATGTATGTAAAACATACAATTAGAAATTTATTACATTCATTACATTTTTTTGAATTTCATTATCTTGTACCCTTAATAAGTCTGACAGGTTTTCAATGCCTATTGAACATATCCGTTTTAAATATACCCTGGTTCAAAGAAAAATTTCATATGTTGATTGAAGTATTTGATTATTTATTTTAATTTTCAAGTAAATTGATTGGTTCATTACTCATTGGGGGATTATAGTATCTGTTTTTTTAGAGGTAAAAATACTCTGGGGTTATTGGAGAAGTTTAAAAACTAAGTTTGGGCATTTGAATGCTGGAAATATCAGGTGGAAATAAGCAAAATTCAAGGGGAAAAATCAGGGAGAAAAAAGCAAAATTTTAGCGAAAAATCAGGGAAAATCAGGGAGCAAAAAGCAAAATTTTGGCAAAAAAATCAGGGAAAATCAGGGAATTTTGCTCCTAAATAATGGTGGCAACCCTGTTCTAGATAGCATAAAAATGTATTTTGTAGCCATGTCAAACGCTCATCATTAACATCCGTGTATGGTAATAAAAATGGTTTGCGTTTCATTGATGTTTTGCACATTTAAGCAATCAAAAAAACTATCTAACATTTCGCAAAATTTTGCAGTTCCATTTGTATCATCAGGGTAATAATTTTTTTAAATGTTACTGACAATACTACTTAAAACCTGGGCTGCAAGTCTTACATTCATAACAGAATAAGCACTAAGTTTAATATGATCCTGTGTTAACTTTGGTATAATTTTTAACCCATTTTTCATTTTGTGATTGACTATTCTTGTGATATGGTACCAAATCAATTGTTGTCCATCATTCCAAAGACTTCGTGTACCCCTGCCATCTCCTGAAATAAAAAAAAAGATTGAATCTCAATATAACACAAAATTATTGCCTACAATTCAACTCTCAATCTAGGAAGGTTTAAAACATTGCATTGCCCTTCTAATTTTAGCTAAATAAGTCAGCATTTCATACTTTTTAATATAAAAATCTGTTATTTTATTATTACTTTCCAGCAAGAAATAACCATAACCTGATAATTTTCTACTGGAAAGGCCTGTAAACCAATACACTATAAATATAATTTACATACCTGAGTGATATAAACAGTTCCTTGCTGTTTTGATGAGATGAGGAGCATCAGCAAAAAACCATAAGTACCGTTCAGGGGCATACATATTAATGCATCGATGAACAACATTACAATCTAATTTGTCATCAAACATACTATGCATTCGATAGAACTTTCTGTTTGGTGCTGCACCATCCGATACTGCAGCTATAACATATAATTTACATGGCAGTTCTAAAAATCCAACTGCTTCCCAGAAAGTTGGCATTAGTTGGAACGAGGTGAGACCTTTAGTAGCAAAGTGACATAAAGCAAACTTTAAGTCAGAAGCAATATCAAATATATATTCTGAATAAAGTTGTTACATCAAGGATATTTACAAATAGTAATTTGTACTAATATAAAGTAAACACCTGTCAAACTAAATAAAAATTATAATACAAGTAGGAATAATAAAAGTAATAGTAGTGATTGTAGTGATAAAAAAAATAATAGTAGCGATTATAAAAAGAATATACTATAATAATAATAATAATAATAATAATAATAATAATAATAATAATAATAATAATAATAATAATCAGTTTATAATAATAAATTTAATAATTGATATTAAAATTAGTAATATATCATGATAGAAAAGAGAAAAAATAAAAGATGAATAGAAGCACCGCGTTAGGGTTATAAATAATAAGTTGTAAAAAAGTATAAGATTTATAAAGAGTATTTTTCTAAAAAATGGTTAAAGAGAGCAGTTTTAAATTTTGAGAATGATTTAAGAGATTTTAATTGGGAAGAGAGATTGTTCCAGGTTTGTATGCTTTTATGTTGTATGGATTCGTAGCCGTAATGAACAGTTCGGTATTTAGGTACAGGTAATTTAAAGTTGAGAGCAGATCCTAGAATATATTTACAGTTTTCCCTATAACTAAAAAAGTTGATAAATGTAAGAGGTAAGTTATTATGATTTTGGTTCCAAACAAATAGACAATTTGATAGCTGAATAAGGTCACACAATTTAAGGACTTTAGATAAAAAATAGAGTATGCTACAGTTCGAATTAGTATGTTAAAAGTAAATTAATTTTAGAACTTTGTTTTGGAGATAAGTTAGTCTTAAAAAAGCAAGCTGCTTAGATAGTCCCCAAACTTGGCAAGTATATCTGAGATGAAAGTGAAAAATAGCATGATATAAATTAAGCAAAGTTATTGGTTAACAAAATGACGAATTTTAGCTAAAATACCATTCGATCTGCTTAATTTCAATGCTAAGTCTTGAAGATGCGATGCAAAAGATAAATTAGAGTTTATTTTGATTCCAAGATATTTAATAAATTTAACTGGATTTTCTTTTTGGCCACTTAATCTGAAATTTAATTGCTTATTTATTTTTGTTTGTATACCTCGAATGAAGTAGACTAGAACATGGCTTACTAAAGAATCTTCCTTTTGAAAAGTAGAATATAAATCAGGTTCACCTAAATCTACAAAACCTATAATGTCATCTGTGTGTTTATTAAAAACAAGTTTTTCTTGTATTTTTACTTCATCAAAAGATAACGTTACATATCGTTGGTAGCCAACTAGGTTAATACTAATTTTATTCAATTCTTCAATTACGGGAGGGTTTAATCCAGCTTTCGGTCGAATGAAATTCTTATTATCTCTTAGAGTTCTGCGACTTGGTAATGTTAGTATATTTGATGAGCGCAACTCATCATAAGCTGAGGCTGACTTTGAGGCAAGTGGGAGGCAAAACCGTATTATCATAGGATGATTTTTATTACACATTTTCTTTTGCTGGTCCCAAATAATTTCATAAAGGGAGTAGCTTTTTCGTAGTTACTACTCATTATTTGGTTTAAATCATCAACAAACCCATCATTAATAGTAATACCTTTAGAGTCTATTTGAAAATTTTTTTTTTCTAAATCACTTGTTAGCTGAGCACATCTTAGACGTTCTTGTTTTAATGCTAATAGAACGTGAACAGGATTTGTTTTACTAAGTGGAGCTTTTCGAAGAGCAGGTGTGGCTAACTGATGTTGTTTTTTTATTTTTTGTTTTTTCATTTTGTTATTTTTTAGTGTGTGAGTACAAAATGAACAAACAGAATTTATATCATCAGACTCACTAGTATGTAATATAATACCTGATTTTGCTCTTTTAAACCTTTCATTTGATACACGCATACCATCTGTACTTGCACTTTCTAAATCAAATTCCATTGGAACAATATGATCAACAAAATCATCATTACTTATATTTCTGATGTTTTCTATAATACCAGAACAAAATCTTAATGTACATATTTTGCATAAAAGTTTGGTAACTGTAGTGTTCAGCATTGATCGTGAGTATAATTTATAGATTAAGTGAGTATCTGGCAAGAGCCATCCAAATACAATAATGGTGAACGCTAAGCTGTCATCTACTTCAACTTCATACAAAGGTAACAAATACAAAGGCAATAACTTTTTAAATTTGATATTGTTTTCATTACATGTCATCTCCCGTCCACTAAGTTTTAACTTTTGAGTTTTTTTCTGTAAATCAATTAAGTTTGAATAATTTATTCGTTTCTGTGGGACAATATCTTTTACAATACTTATGCGTCTTCTAGGTAACTTTTTTTCTTTTTCATGTGATTTTATGGGTAAGTTAACAGTTGGTAAAGCCTCTAAGCGAAATGATTTCTTTCCAGTTTCTGAAATTCAACATATTTCAATAAAGTAAATATAAATTATCACACAAAAAAAAGAGCAATACTGAGAACTATACTGAGAAAAAAAGAGAATATGTTATCCACAAATTTATATAAAGCCACAAATATGAAATTTATTTGTTTATTGTACTTAAACTTATCAGAGTTGCCCAAAATTAATGCTTTTGGAATTAAATAACACAGATTGTAAAAGCAAATTTAAACAATAAATATATAAAAGTATCCTTACTTGTACTGCTAAAAAATGATTCTCGCGTATATAAATACTGCCCTTTGAGAGTCTTTCTTTCAAATCTTTGTCAAAGTCTCTATACTGAGTGATAACAGCTAACAATCTCTGTCTCCATTTTTTATAGAAGTCTCCTGTCCTCATAGGAATTCTGAATAAGGTGATATCTTTGTGCTTAATAGATCTTGAAACTGTACATCCTGGTAGACAACAATTTGAACCTGGCATTTTGGATTTATCTTTTAGACTTTTTTAAAATATAGAATATAAAGAAACATTTTAAATTGAATAAAGTTTTTAAACCATAGACAATAGAAAGGAACCAATATTATTTTAATAATAAAAAAAAAAAATAATTTTAATATATTAATTTAAAGTAAACATCAAAATCTTTATTAATTCGTATCTTTCATTATAAAAGTTTTGTTTGTTTTGCACTAAATTTGATCACGTGACTTGAAAAAAAGCGAACAATAACATACGACAATAGCTTTTCCAGACCAGGATTTCTATTGACTATGGTTTGCTTTATACACATACTATTATACATATATATTTTATACAGCAAATAGACGCGTCCTATTTGCTGTATAAAATATATATTTTGCTGTAAAAGTGAGAACTCGTCAAATTTCATTGGGTAAATAATTAAATTTGATTTAATCAAGTTTTAAAGGTTCACTTCTTTAAGACAACTGTTATCAAAATGGCTAGTTCATTAATAATAAACAAGTTATGAGTGCGCTGTTTAAATGCCCGCCAAATTTGAAATATCAATGATTCTAATTCCAAAATGCAAATTGATGATTAATGACAAAGTCAAACTTCTACTTTATACTTATATATTTTGTATACTTATATCAACTTAATGATATATTAAATTAATTGAAAACCAAAAAAAGTTATCGCATAATAGTTTTTTCTTGTTTAATTCATTCTGCAATGATTAATGGATTAAATTATTTTACTACATAGGTAGCCAGTTATTTGATACATATTTTATGCAACGAATCGATTTTTTATACGTAGAAAAATGTTTTGGCTACCTCTGTAGTAAGATATTTCGGTTCATTTTTACGTGTGTGAACTGTACAGAGAACGGACTCAGGCTATTCTCCTTAGAACTTTATTATTTATTGTAATAAAATAAATGATATGATTTGTAAACATGCCTTAATTTTCAATAGAGAGAACTATCGGTTAACAACGCTTTATTATTTTATAGGGGTTAACTAAATTAATCCAGAAGAGAAGGAAAAACTCTGGTTTCCTAAATATTTGAATTTTTTATTAATATGTACAAATATGAATGTATACAACGATATACTTTCAACATTGAATGTTTCAAGTATATTGTTGAAATAGATTTAAAAAAAAAAGTTTCTAGAATAGATACCTGCGGAACGTCATATTTTTTGTAATTTACACATAATTTCAACGGAAGTTAAAGTGTTGTTAAAATATAATGCTAGTTTTTGATTGTTTGGATATATATATATATATATATATATATATATATATATATATATATATATATATATATATATATATATATATATATATATATATATATAGATAGATAAGTCCATAAATTTAAATTAGAAATATATGTGTTATATATTATTTTTTTATAACAAATAAAACTCTAAAAACTTATGTATAACTTTTATATATCTACTGTTATCTTTAGTTTCTTTAGCACCATAGGCTTTTTTTCTAATAAAGTTATTTTTGTTGATCCTGAAAGGTTTGAATAAATGGACTTGTGCCCTTTTCGAAATGACGGGTTCAAATCGTCTTAAATGAAATTAAAGAATGAAATGAAAGATTTTATTTCTTTTGTGACTGGTGATATTATTAAAATGTCGGAACGTTTAAAATTTTTGGAGAAGAAGAATGTTATGAAAGTTAAAGGTGCTCAAGAAAAAGAATTAAAAAAAAGAAAAACCTTAACCTTACATACCACGTACAAACAAAAAATTAAAGATCTGTCTGAAAAAGTTGAATATGATACAAAGTATATACTCGAAACACCAAGGTACACAGCCAAACAAATAGCTAATAAGAACTTAGAAAAAATTATCATGTGCATTCTGTAAGATCAACAATTGCCATATGATATCAATAAAAATATTGAAAATGAAATAAAAAAGATGTCTCCAGAAGAAAGACTTGCTTTTGTATTAAATTATGGTTTTACTAAATCTCAGTACAAGGCGATAAGATTGGAAAGTAAAGAGAGAGGTGCAGATATTTATCCGCTTTACAGCAGTATTCTGGAACCTAAAAAAATGCAGACCAAATAATATGCATATCTCTGACTAGGAGGCATATATGCCATTACAAAATCTTCTAATAAAATCTGTTCTAAGAATAATAAAATCGCAAGAGGCGCAAATTATATCTAAAACTACTAATAAAGAAAAGGACTCAATTGAGTTGATTTTTGTTCAAAATTTGGGATTTGATGGAGCCAGTAGTTTTTCCCATTTCAATCAAAAGTTCAATGAGTTATTTGTAATTTTATTCGAAGATGCGCTTTTTTCTGCTGCGTGTCAGAAACACACAGCTCGCTCAATTAATTATGCAAATCGTTTTTCAAGCTCAACACCACTTCTTAAAGAAATGAAAGTTTTAAATATTTACGAACTAAATGCTTTGAATATTTTATGTTTTATGTTTAAATGTAAAGAAAATATATCACCTAATGTATTTATAAATCTGATTTGAAACCTAAAAACAAATATAATCTTTGTGCCAGTAAAAGTATCAAAGAGCCATTTTGCCAAACTAAATTTGACCAGTTTTGTATTTCTTATCGTGGTCCTTCTCTTTGGAAAAAAATAATTTTACCTAATTTCGATTTTTCTTTTAAATGGTCTTATTCTTCTTTTAAACGGAAAGTAAAAGAAATTATCTTTTTAACACAAAATATTTATATCTATTTTTAGTATTTAAGTTGCTTTTTTTTATTTATTTTGATTTATACTTTATTTTGTTTATTATATAGACTATGAAGAATATTAGAATATTGTGTTCTTTTTGTTATATAGATTGTAAAGGGCTTCATGATAAGATCCTGTGATCTTCTAGAAGTCCTGCCGGTAATATATTCAATGTAAATTTACTTTGTACATATTCTAGCAAATAAAAATAAAAAAATAAAAAATAAAAAAAATTGTGCCCTTAAGACTTCAAACATATGACCGGGATGTGTTTTGGACAAACCCAACTCCTATTCTGCTAGATTTTACAGACCATTCTTAATCATTCAGATCTTAAAGTACGCTAAAGAAAGTAAAAAACTTATTCTCAAAACAAAATTTTTTGTTGAACGACAAATAAATGAAATTTTTGATATTATAATATGGCTACCAAATGGAAAAGTTCTTAATACCAAAAGCTCTTTATTTTTAACAGCCATCGACGGAAAATTTTTAGCGGAAATCATTGAAACAATATCTTATCAATTGTGTCCGCTTTGCAAAACAACACTTACTGAAATGAGTCATTTTGAAAACTATACAAACAAATTATTTAACACTGAGAAAGCATTTTTACTATTTGGAATAAGCCCACTTTATTGCTGGATCCGTTTCATGGAAGATCTCCTTCATTTGTCGTACGAATTCGATATTAAGCAATGGCAGGCAAAAGGAAAAATAAATAAAGGTTATGTAAAAACTCGAAAAAGTCTTATACAAAAAGATTTTGGAAAAAATTTAATTTACACGTAGACAAACCCCATCCAGGTGGCTCTGATTCATCCAATAATAGCAATCATATTGCTTGGCGAGCTTTTTCTGATCCAATATTGTTTTCAGAAATTGTCGATACAGATATAAATCTTATTGTGCATATGTCAAATTCCTATTGATCCAATCAAATTTGAAAATTATTGTCTACAGTTTTAATTATCAATGTGAAACATTCATTGTATAAAAATCCTTCTTGTGTTTATAAAGTCTAAGCTCATGGAGCTCAAATCATGGTTGAATCAATTTTGCCAGTTGAAACCTTTGACGAAAATGCTGGAGGAATTCTTCACAAATGTCATAGAAAAGATTGTATGAATCATACAAGAAATACTTCAAGAATTAACAACTTAACCGATGTTTTTTGTCGAGGTTAAGAAAAATCAGATCCTTATATTTCCAGTATTGTTTTGAAAAGACGTTTGAAGTCTGTATATAAATCAGTACTACCAGAAGAGGTGTTGACTTTTACTGATTGAAAATTCCACAAGAAGTAAGGATGTTAATGAAGAGGTTTTATCTGAACTAATTGATGTTTATCGACAATTAGATTGCGTTGATATAGAAGCCGATAACAGTTAATCTGATAGCGAATAAATACTCAGCTATAACTACGAAATTTAGTTTTAATTTAAATAATTCAAAACTTTTATTATTAAATGATGTGCTTCTATTTCGCATGTTTTTTTCTTATTCCGCAAGTTCTCATTACTTGGGGAAAAGCTCTTTTGTATTTTTTAAAAAAATCAATTTTTTTGATTTTTTTTTAAATCTAATAATTTTATTTTATGTATATTAAGGAATATATTGAAAAATAAAATTGAAGCGTGATTTTTAACACTGAATAAAAATGACTGTCATGTTTTATGTAAAAAAAAAAAAACACAAACAAGTTAAGTAGAAACATTTTTAAATTAAAAATAGTTGTTTTTGGGCGGGTCCGGGCAGCATCGAAACCTATATCGGATTAAAAAAAGAAGGGCCGAAGTTTATCCATACATATTTAGAGTTTTACAGAATTAAATAAAAGTCACATTCAAGTATGCTATTATTTCCTAGTCTAAAAAGTTATCTTTTTCTGCATTTTTATGGCATGAAATGTAATTTTATAAAATATTTTACACTATAGTCTGAAAGCCTGTTTAAACTTTCAAAACATAAAAATATTACTAATTTGCAACAATTTTGCATATTCAGAACTTTTTATATCGGATTTTCGCAAATCTGGAATTAATGCCACTTTTTGATTATTTCAAACCACTGTGGACGATATGAAATATGCCCAGAGCTCGTTGGATTCCTGGATTATTCGCTTTTAAGGGAAGCGATTTAAACTCTGCACCACAGCCGCTTTGTTTTTACTATATTAGGAATATATATTTATACACTATACTAATACTTTATCAATTTTGGTATTACTTATAGTGCAATGTTATTTTGCAAACAATGCGGTTGTAACTCGTATGCCAACGCAACCGTTTTTTGCGACAACTAAAAAAGCAAAATATGGTTAAGCCAACAATACAGGATAAGTGATAACAATAAAAGATAAACAATAAGTGCGAACTAGCGTAAGTGTGCCAAATGAATTTGCAAACATTGGCATAAGAGCAAAGCAGTTACAAAAACTGGCATAAGTTCGCCGAATAAACTTGCAAACATTGGCGTAAGTGTGAAATGCCAATTTGCAATTAGGTTAATATTTGCAATTATATTTGGCACACCTATGCCAGTTTGCAAAAGTATCACGGCACACTTATGTTGATTCGCACCTATTCCAGTTTTTGCAAATGCTTCGCACTTACGCCAATGTTAGCAAATTCTTTTGGCGCACTTATGCCAGTTCACACACATATGCCAGTTTTTGCAACGCTCCGCACTTATGCCAGTTCGTACTTATGAAATTCACGCTCATTCAGACTGCCGCAAAAAACTTATAAAAGTAAAAAAAAAAAAAATCAGTTTATAATAAAAAATCTATTTATTTTAAAAATGGAAAGTAAAATAAATAGCAACAGAAATAATTTATTCCTAAAATTTTTAACTAAGATCATAAAGTCAAGCCTAACTAAACTTTTGAAACTTTTCGTCTAATTTCTTGTCATAATCATACGAAAAGGCTTTTATATTTTATTTACCAGGACAATATCTTCATTAGGCTGATTTTTATCATGTGTCTTTTTTTTAAAACAACATAGTATATTTTTCAAACTTCCGTTGGAGCCTTCAGGACCGATTACCCCAACGATCACACAAAACAAGACAAGGGCGTAAATAATTGCAAAGCTGATAGTACAAAACATAAATATTCCAAATTGTAAAAAAAATTTGATTTGGGAGCCAAGCATAAATGATGATGCCCCGATTGTTGTTGCTGCTCCAGCTATAACAGACATGCCAACATGACCAAGCATAAAACGAACTCTGTGATCTCGTTTAAAATGCAGTGATCGAACGTAGCCATCGGCAAGATGGACAACATAATCAACTGAAAGACCGACTACAAGCGTTAAATTTATAGATTCAAGAACACCGAGCTGCCATCCAACTAATGGTATCAAACCTACAACTCCGAGGGTAATTAGACCGATCACAGCAGTTGCTATTACACCGATGATCCAGTTAAATGTTGCCAAAATAAGTACCGGAAAAGCTAGACAAAGACCAATTACAATTCCTTTCCTTGCACTGCTCATTAGCTCCTATATAAATTTTATATATATATATATATATATATATATATATATATATATATATACACACACACACACACACACACACACACACACACACACACACACACACACACACACACACACACACACACACACACACACACACACACACACACACACACACACACACATATATATATATACATACATATATATATATATACACACATATATATATATATATATATATATACATATATATATATATATACACACACATATATATATATATATATATATATATATATATATATATATATATATATATATATATATATATATATATATATATATATATATATATATATATAAACACACAGACACAAACACACATATATAATATTGTGCTAATTGTATCAAACATTTTTTTTTATTTCTTGTTTTATTTTACGTTTTCTCTAATTTAACTGTGGTTAGAAGAATAAGTAAATTTAAAAAAAGTAAATTAAAAAAAAATATGCACTACACCAAGAAAGAGAATTTTTATCTTTACTTCAGTATTCTGACAATCTCAACGGAAATAGCCACATTATGTTCAGTTAATCATTCTACAGTTAGCTGAGTCAAAAAGCATTACTTTGTAACAGACAGCTTATCACCATTATAACAAGAAAAATGTGGTCACAAAAGACCTTAGTGAGAGATGACCGATATCTGATGCTGGAGAGTATCATAAGTCCAAAGAGAACAAGTGACCAACTAATAAATAATTTAGCTGCATGGCATCCATGTCTGCTTAAGTACTGTGTGGAGGAGGTTGATGGTTATTAAAAGGTTTGCCAGAAAACCTTTTAAAAAACAATTACTTACAGATACAATGAAGAAAAAGCGTCTTTTGTAAACAAAGAAATACAAAAAAATGAAATAGAGGACAATGGAGAAGGGTATTATGACAAAATGTAGTTGTTAAATTTACAGCCATTTTATTTATTATATTTGTTTATTCATATTATTTTTAAAAACTGAAGGTATTAAATTAACGACACGTTGAATAATATGCCAAGTATCCAGAAAAGATGTTTTGAGGTTGTTTCTCTGCTGCTGGACCAGGAGCACTGAGCACCCAGAAACACCCAGTTACTGATATGATGAACTCTGATACTTACATTGAGGTACTGCAAACACATTTAAATCAAGAGATGTTAAAAGTGTTTCCAAATGGAAACAGGATATTGCAGCAAGATTTAGCCACATGCCATATGTCAAAAAAGTCAAAAAATTTATGGTAGAAAATAATATTAAAACACATTAACGGCCTGACATCTCCCCAGATCTCAATCCAATTGAGAGTCATTGGGCAATTGTAAAAAAAAGACCGTGAAGATATGACTATTTAACTAAAACTAAGCTTATCACTATCCTTCAGATTTGGTTTTAAAGACCCAGAAATCTAAAACATTTGTAAAAGTTTGGTAGACTCTATGTCTAATGGTGTGCATAAATTCAACGCAGTATTTTGATGCAATTAATTTGCACAATACAGTATATATATATATATATATATATATATATATATATATATATATATATATATATATATATATATATATATATATATATATATGGGCCGGATTTAGCCTTTTGGGGGCTCTAGGTCAAAACATTTTTGAGGCCCCTAAAATAATTTAATTTTGAGAAAGAAAAAAATTTCATTTTTTTATTTAAAATTTTATTATTTAAACAAAACAGTGTGAATATTGAGAATTTAATGAAAAATAAATTTTACAACATTTTTGATTTTTCTACACATTATTTTTAGTTTTCAACTTTTTATATTTATTAAATTTTGGGGCCCCCAAATGTTGGGGGCCCTAGGCCGTGGCCTAGTCAGAGAATAGGTAAATCCGTCCCTGATATATATATATATATATTATATATATATATATATATATATATATATATATATATATATATATATATATATATATATATATATATATATTACAGGGTTATTCATTCTTATATGCGCGTCTATTCATTTTTATATGCATCTTTATTCATTCTTATATGCGCATTTATTCATTTTTATATGCGCCTTTATTCATTCTTATATGCGCATTTATTCATTTTTATATGCGCCTTTATTCATTTTTATATGCGCATTTATTCATTTTTATATGCGCCTTTATTCATTCTTATATGCGCCTTTATTCATTCTTATATGCGTTTTACAAAAGCAATTGTAAAAAAGCAATTTGAACAAAAAAAAATCATCAAGCAATTTGTTTTGAAAAAATAGTTTATTTTTTCAAAACAAACTTTTTTTATTTCCAGGTAAACGAGGTTAAAAATACTTAAAACGAAGACTTTTTAAATTCGATGATGGTTTATTTAATTTAGTATTAGTTCTTTGTAATTTTATTATTAAATTTCTTGATTGATTAAGTTATTATTTATCTAATTATTCATTTATCTCGATTTAAATTTACTTATTTATAATTATTATTAATATCAAATTATACATCCCTATGTTTGTATATGCGTCAACCACCCATAAAATCTCTAATATAATTTAATATAAACGATAAATACGCTTTTAAATTTTTATATAGACATATTTAAAATATATTATATAATTTTAAATTTTAAAATATATTATATAAATATATAATATAAAATAAATTAGGTTGTTTTCATTGTTATTTATTTAAGAAATGGTTGCCGAGCCGGCGCTTGATTTATATAACTACGCATATGGTTGTAAAATGAAACTATATTAAACTCTGTAGTATCCATAATATTTTTAAGTTTCCTGATTACCTCATCCGTATTTCGAGGCCTTTCTCCCTGTTTGTAAGTATGTTTTAAAGAAGAAAAAAATTCTTCTATTGGATTAAGCTGTGGCGTGTAAGCTGGCAGATACTTAATAGCTATACCATGAGAGGCTAGTGTTTGCCTAACAGAAAGACTCCAGTGGAATTTACAATTGTCCATAACAAGCACCGGCGCTTCCACATTTGCATTCTTAATCGCTGGTGCCATCATTGTAGTTATGAAAGTACAAAATGAATCTGCATTCCAGCCTCCAGTTTTTGTTGAAACAGCACAAATTAAACTAACATTCTTGCCACGATTTGCAGGCGACTGTAAAATTGCTGCCGCACCTCTTAGCGAATAACCATATGTGCTTTTAGTGTGCACATTAAATCCAGTTTCATCCAAATAAATAAGTTTTTCATCTGAAATTCCGTTAATTTCGCTTGCAAATGCATAGCGTGCATTAATAATTCGTGTTGAATTTCGTTCTTCTGGCACATGCACAACACGTTTTCTTGATAAATCCGAGCGTTTGAATTTTCTTGAAATAGTAAGCTGAGACATGTTGAAGCCTGCTGCAGAAAGATTTTCTTTTATTGTTTCTTGCGTGCAAAGATTGTTTTCTTGTACGCATAATTCGATAATATTTTTTATTTGAGCATTTATAGGTCTTTCACCTCGTTTTTTATCAGAAGACGACTTGAATGCAGTCATGTCGTCGAATTCTCCTCTGTTTAACTTAACGACAAGATTTTGAACTGTGCCCTTCGATAAATTAAGAGAAGTGGAAATGCTTGTTGTAGATTGATTTCTTTCAACTAAATGTTTAAGCATTTCAATGTGCTCTTTTGTAACATTTTTCCTTGTTTTACGATTATTTTCTATTCCATCCATAGGGTAAAAATTTAATATTAATAATTTTAAATAATTAAATAATAAATCTAGAAAAATAAATAATTAGATAAAAAATAACTTAATCAATCAAGAAATTTAATACAATAATACAATTTAATATAATGTAATAAAATTAAACTAAAAACTAATACTAAGTTAAATAAACCATCATCGAATGTAAAAAGTCTTCGTCTTATAAGTATTTTTAAACTCGTTTACCAGGAAATAAAAAAAATTTGCTTTGAAATAATAAACTGTTTTATCAATGATTTTATTAAATGATTTTTTTTGGTTCAAATTGCTTTTTTACAATTGCTTTTGTAAACCACATAAAAATGAATAAATGCGCATATAAGAATGAATAAATGCGCATATAAGAATGAATAAAGGCGCATATAAAAATGAATAAATGCGCATATAAGAATGAATAAAGGCGCATATAAAAATGAATAGACGCGCATATAAGAATGAATAACCCTGTAAAATGAAATTTTTTTTTTTTACTAAAAAAACAAAAACTCTTACTTGTTGAACTTTTAACCAATGCCAATTATTCCATTCTGGTGTACATTGAAATGCATTTTTACATGTAACTGGCATATCTTTGGTCTGCAATTTAAAATATTCATAAAAAACTATAACATAGCTTTAAAAATGTTTTTCTTAAATGTTTTAAAATAAAAATATTTGTGCAGTAAAAATAATAATAATAAAATAACAAAATGAAAATATATTTAGTATATTAGCTTTACATTAGAGTTACTTCAAGCTAATTTTTTTTTAAATTTATTTTTGCTAGACAAGTCTCCTTTGTAATGTCCTATGCATCTTACAATGATAATGTATAAATAAAATATATGGGAGCAATAAGCCTCATTCTCATGCAACCCGAATTGCCAACCCAATAATATAGAATTGCCAAACCCAATAATATAGAAAATCATTATTTTTATTTAAATGTCAATATTTAGCATTTGAATAAAAATAAAAATTTTAAAGTATTGATTTTGTTATTCTACAATACCTTTCCTCAAATTTTCTAGAATAATGGGTACCCTATAGAATCCTTCTTAACTAAAACAGATGTTTTATTGTTTTTATTGTATTAAAAAATAAAAATCTAAAAAGTCACAGTAATTGTTGATTAATACTGCTTTATTTTGATTTTGATTAAAAATAAAAAAAATTTTTTTAAAAGAAATAAGTTGAAAAACATTTTAACTAATATTGTGGTTTTTAGATCCTTTTTACTAACTATTTTATTTTTTAATTTCGGTAAAACCTTTTCAACTTAATAATTTTTTATCAAATAAACTTATTTTTAACCAGTACAATAATTAAATGGCAAGTCCTTTGGGCATTTTGACTTTTTTTAAATAATTAGTTAATAAAAAAATGTAATTACAATAAACATTTGCTCTAGTGCTCCAAAAATGATCATAATTAAAATCACTTTTGGGGCCAATGATCCTCTTGACTTTTGGGGCCTATGATCCTCTTGACTTGTATCTTGAGCGCTAAAACCTTTAGTTTTGCGGCAGTGTTTAACAACAAAACTCATATAAAAAACTTTGATTCATTAAAAATGGCAAAAAAATAAAAAAAACCAAATATAATAGATAAAAGTACAAAAAAATTAAACTTTAAACAAATTTTCAAAATGATTATTACTATTTCATTGAAATATATTGAAAAAAAAAATCAAATTATAAAATTAATTATCTTATTTTTTAATATTCAAAAAATTTATTATTGGAATAACTGAATACCTCTGTTACAATATAGTTTTCCCAATTTTCATAAAGTTCATTTCCTTGTTTGTAGCGCAATGTTGACCCGGATATAGTTGTGTTTACTACAACTGCAACATAGCGCAACTTATTTCCATATCGCCCACCTATTGCCAATAAGACTTATGTTATTATATTTTTTATACTTATATCAAAATATATAGTACGATATAATAATATTATAAAAACACCTTTTAATAATAAAACATGAAAATCTACTTTTGTTAAACATCGAGTTTAATAAAACAGTCAAGTATTTTAAAGTATTTAAAAATGGTCTTTGGAGTCAAGGTTTTTTTGCCCAATGTCAATCATGCTAGTTTATTACCAAATTATTCAATAATTTGACTTTATTGATTGTAATTATGTTTTTTTTTTTTGTTTTTTTTTAATTCACCTCCTCAAGGCCGAGAAGGCCACTACAGACGAGGAGGCTACTTATTTGTGGTTATAACCCTCTCTCAACTCTATAACTCCGAAACACGAACCTTGACGAGCAAGGCCGCTGCGCGGAGAAACGAGTTGAGCGCGGTACTACCAGGGACGTGGTGGGGATCGAACTCGGAACCACTTGTTTATGAAGCGAGTGCTCTACCACTACACCACTACCGCATGTTTACTGAAAACAACACTAAAACATAGTTTTTATACAAACAAAAATAACTCACAGGAATCGATTACCAACATCAGTTGGTAATCGATTCCTGTGAGAACACATTTAAAGCTTTACTTGATTTTTTAAAATTTTTTTGCGCATTTCTTTTCTGATAAAGTTAAAATATTGAGCCATATTTTAGGAAAATCTCAGCAAATCTGAATTTCTGTGATTGTGTTATCAGTAATTTCTGTGAAATATTTTAAATAGTCTTAAACTTAGAAAAAATTAATTTTTGAATAAATATAGAACGTGCATATTAAAAAGTTGTAATATTGTCATAAACAATTATCTCCTAATTAATAGAAACAGTCTCATTAAATTGAAAACCTTAAATAATTTGAAAGGAATGTGTCAGTTAACATAAATCCTAATATTTGAAAATAGTCTTACTCATTTCTAACATCTTCTCCTTTGACTCTAAAATACATGACGCATTTTAACAAATTTCTAACTTGACATATTTTACCAACATTATCCTAACATTGCAATAAATAGTAATAATTAGCTTTTTTTTTTTTCCTTTCTGTTCCTTTTTAAAAAAGCAAAGAAGATTTTGACAACAATTGCTGCTGAAATAACAAATGTATGAGTTACACAGAAAGAGAGTGATTCAGAAATGCTGTACTTCCTGGCAATGATTCATCTGATACTGATGAAGATAAATTATTTCTCTACAGGAAACAATTGAAGCACAAGATGAGAAAATGAACCAAGTTATAACTTTTAAAACTGTAGATATAATTCAAAATCAACTACATTATTTTTTTGAGTTTAAATATCATTAAATTAGAAAAAAGGTAATAAGTCTTAACAACATCTTAGAGTGTTTTGCAAAAAGGTTTTAACTGTTTACTTAAAATAAATGTTGCTTTGTGTTTGATAATCTTAACAATTACAATCATAATTATGATAATTATCATTAACCACTTTTAGTATGCGAAAAATCAAGTATTTAAATTTAAAAGCATTATGTGAATGTTGATTCACATATGATATCACAAGATACATAGCCAAGTTACTAAATAAGTGTAGGACCCCTTTTAATGCATGGAACCTGAAACTTAGAAATGTGTGGAATACATTAAATCTATAATACTTTTTGTGATTTCTTTGGGGATCAGAATCCCTAATGTTCTGATAGCATGGATGATGATATTTCACCATGAACATAAAATCTAATAATGTTAAACTATCTTCCTTGAAAGAAACACCAGCTATTACTAATTACGAAACACTAACAGCTGTGAACGCACCAATGATCTAATGACACCATAATCTAGCAATAAAGACCTTTCACAGTAGCAATAACATTATTCACCACTTCAAATCAAACCATACCTACTGCAAATTTGTCAGTAAAATTTTCCAAAAAATTTTATTAGCAAAAATGACCAAGTTATATGGGATGCCATTTTGCTTCATCCTTTTCAAGTTCAAGCTGCAAATATATTACTTACTAATGATTGAATAAGTAACTTTATACAGGTAAATGCTTTACCTATGTAAAGTTACAAGTAGACCAACAAATGGTCTACAAGTAACTTTATTATACAGATAATAACCTGTATAAAGTTACTTGTAGACCATTTGTTGGTTTACAAGTAACTTAATTATACAGTATATTGTTATTATTATATACAATTACTAATAAAGTTAAATGTAAACCATCAAATGGTCTACAGATAACTCAACCTAACAACTTGCTTAAAACGCAAATTACTTTTCTTAAAAATATGAAAAAAATGAATCAGAGATACCAGAAAAACTTTATACAGGAAAAACTCTCACATTTTTGGTTTTTCATAGTTTGACTTTAAACAATAGCACATATAAATTAGCAAAGATTATCAATTACAATAAAGTAAAGGCTGCAGTCAACTTTGTTGATCAACTCTGTTGCAATTACAGAGTTCACACACACACACAAAAAACGCTGACCATTACTTTATTTCTACAACTGATTAAAGATTGCAGGGATTATTTATTAACATTTCACAGGAATTTTTTTAAACAAAATTCCCTGACTGGAAGAAAAATAAAAAAATATGTTGCCATTAGATTTAAGATATTGCTGTTACAACCTTTGAACCCCAAAATTCCAAAACACAAATTTTCAAAAACAAGACTCTTAGTCAAAGAAAAAAAATTAAACACTTGGGATATGGTAAGAATTAAACTCAAGAAGTTCTCACTAAAAAAAAGCAACAATGCTTTAACATTGTATACAAACGTTAAATTGCCCAGGAAGATTTTTGAAAAGGGCTTTGCTTGCATGTTGTGTTGGAAAAGCAATAGAATATGTTCAAGCTCAATATATTTAAGAACTAATAAACAAACGAAAGTGTTACATTTATAAAATTTAAAAATAAATAATCAAATTTTTACATTTTTAAACATTTAATTTAACATTGCCTATTTTATCAATATAATACTGTCCTAACTACATTTGTGAAAGCAGATCAAGCTATATTTAAAATATGATTTTGGACCTTGTCTAAAAAGAAGAGGACCTCATTAGAAGTAGCAGTCCAAATATGGCAACAGTATTCTATACAAGGACAAATTATGGTAAGAAGTAGAGAATTCAGCATGTGTATTGTGCATCATTAATATAAGAACAAAATATTGTGATAATTATTAGCAGTAAACAATTTTTGTTTAAATTTTTGGGTTAAAATTCAACAGTCGCAAACCCAAAACTGTCACAGAAGAGAGATCAGATTTAAGGTCAGCTACCTGTTGTTTTAAGTGATCAAAAAGTGATGACTTTTTGTCAAAACTGGAATATAGTTATGTTATCAGGAAATAGAGCCATATTAGTGTAAAATTATTAGAAAGATTATCAACATACACGAGAAACAACACAAATCCAAAGATAAAACCTCACCCAGAAGTTATTAGAAAGGATAGAGAATCAAAAATGTAAAAAATATTACCATAAAAGAAAAAATTGCACAGTACACAAAGTTTAAATCTCAAATTGAACAAATTTCATAAAAAACAAAAAAATAATAAAAAACGATAAAAAAAAATTATATTTTTTAAGCAACTAAACTTAAAACAAATTTGTAACTCATAAATAATTATCATTTTTAAAATTTATAAGTAACTTTGATTCTTTGGCGACCCAATATAAAATACTTATTGTTTTTGCATTTTAAAGTTTTTGTTTTAAAAAAATGAACAACGCTAGCGAGAATCAATAGAAAGTTTTAAGAACATACATAGATCTTTTTTTTTTTAAAAATGAAACATTTTTGCATCTTACACCATAATGGGGGGTGTTGCACTGTTACTGATTCTTGGTACTAGGGTTACAACATAACATAGGTTTACAAAGCAAGATAACGATTACTAGATAACTTGAAAGACTGCAATTAAGTGTATCAGGAAAACAAGATGAAGGGAGCGAATTCCAAAGAAATGAACATATACATGCATGCACTCATGTATGCATGTATGTATATGTATGTATATGTATATGTATGTATATATATATATATATATATATATATATATATATATATATATATATATATATATATATATATATATATATATATATATATATATATGAACTTCATAACTCCCTTAAGACTAAAAAAGAACATTAGAATTAAATAAAAATTTGTAATGTAAAAATACACTATTTTTTCACAAAAAAATTAAACAAAAAATTATTTTGTAGGTAAATTAAAAGGAATTTCAATGTGAAAAATAAAAGTTGTTTTACTTATTAATGTCAGCTTAAGTACACAGCAAATTGTTAATTGTACACTTCCTGCATGTTCTCCCTATTTAAGTCAGTCGATGTATGCACAAAAAATAAAAAATAAAAATGTTATCAAACAAAACAAAATAAGCAACAAAAAAATGTAAACACATTCTGCTTTATAAATAGAATTGCGGTTTTTAATAAAATAATAATAACAAAAACAACAACAGCAATAACAATAGTAATAATGATAATTATAATAACAATAATACTAACAATAACAGGGCTCAATTTAACGGTCAGACATCAGACATTGTCCGTCTAAAACCTCAGGTTGTCCGATCAATTTACAAAGTAATCTGACATTTTGACCGACGGGAATTAAATTCTAAAAAAATGAAGTATGGACAGAAATGGCGCGCAATCAAACGCAATTACTGACCACGCAACTTTAACAAGAAAAAAGTTGAAAAAATAGAAGAATAAGCAAAACAATTCCTTAGGAAAAAGAAATCAAATTAGCTTTAAAATAAAACTAAAAAAACTCTAAGTAACTACTTTTTGTAACTAAATTAATTTAAAACTTATCTTTTAAAACAATTAAGTAAAGGTAAACGAAACGCTTTTACAAATTACTTCTATTTATTGCTTAACAAATAAACATATTTTGTTTAAATTATTGAAAAGTGAAATTAAATTAATGAAAAAAAAAAAGTTATATTTTAAAGCTGTATAAACATTTTTTTCAAAAAGTGGCAAAAAAAAAGTTTGTTAAAAAAAATAACTTCGTCTTTTTAAAATTGTAAATTTTTAAAATTTAAAAATTTTCAAAAATATTTTTAAATCGTATTTTTTAATCATTTCATGCTTTAATTGGTAAGTGAAGTTAAAAAAAAAACTTTTAAACAATTCTTTGTAAAAATAGAAAAAAACAAAAAAACAAAAAAATGAAGCAAATAAATCATGGAAAGATTTAATCTAAATTATGAATAATTTTATCTTTAAAAATTGTTAGAAAGACATGGAAAAATAATTGAAAACGTTTAAATTTATTATAAATAATACATACCCAGGCCTGTAGCAACCGGATGTGCAGTAGGGCCATTTGCCCTCCCCCCTTCCTCCAATAATTTTTCAAATAAATATTTTAAAGAAATTGACTAAAAAAATGAATAAAAAAAAAGGTCCTTGAAACTATTTAGGGGTAGTACTGCCCCCCCCCCCCCAATATAATTTTTGTTCCTACGGCCCTGATACCTACTAAAAAAATTTAAATAAAACATTGAATTTAAAAATAAAGTGTTTATTTTAACAATCATTATATTTAATGAACAAAAGTTTTTCGCAACATATCAATTTTTTCATTGTATTTAAATTAATGAAACATCAAAACAGGCGTTTGTCAAATTGTAAAGAAAAAAATACAATGTAAAAAAACATACAATGTTTAATTAAAACTATTTGGTTAAAAAAAATAAAAATCTGCAATGAAATATTCTAAATAATAAGGAAAAAAAATACAAACTTCGCTAGACTAATGTTAAATTAACTAATTAACTTGGTTCCGTAAAACCGTAAATAACTTAAATTTGATCGGACACTGTTTAACCCAAACAAGTTTTGATCGGACATTTTGTCCAGGACTTTATAAAAAATTAAACTGAGCCCTGTAACAATAATAATTAACAAAATTAGTAATAAAAAAAGTAATAAAAAAGTTTATAGAAATAAGAAATATTAACGGTGTCATCAAATAATAGCAACACTAGATTTACAAGATTGTCCCACATTAGTTTTTAACAATACATAAATTTAAATTATAAAAAATGAAATTATCCAATAAAAAAACCTTGAACTAAAGATAGTGTAGAATTTTTGCTCGGTGATGTAGTGTCCAGCGAACCTCCCATATATGAAGCATACTTATAGTAATCAAAGTTTGTTTTAGGATAACCTCCATTAGAGAGCCAGTATCCTAATGCTACTTCAAAATAATGATGATAGTCATCTGATAAGATTGATGTATTATATATGTTTGGCAAAGTTTCCATTAATGATATTACATCATGTTTGCTTAAAGGAATACTGTAGTTTATTCTTTTAAAGTTGGTCTTTCTACTAACTATTTGCTCAGACTAAAAAAAAAAATGGTTATAAGTTATATTTTTTTTCAAATTCTTTTTAACATTTTACAACCAGTAAAAAAGATATTGCTTTAATATAGTCTTCATAACACTTATTTTTAGCTACGATTTTATGAATTCATCAAATTATATAATACAAAAACCATGCCTGAAAATATTTATTCATTTCATCAATAAAACATGACACTTCCAATTCACCAGTTGCAACATCTCTACGTATTGCTAACTTTTCTGCCTCATGAGAAGACAAATTTTTCAGCCTCCGACAGAAATTCTAGACAAAAACTTAAATTTTTATTTTATTATTATTAAAAACAAACAAAAAAAATTTAAAAAATTAAAACATTTAAACTCATTTAAATGTAAAATAAATCACAACAAAAAAGTTACTTTTATAAGAGAAAAAAAAAAAAAAAAAGTTTCTGACTTATTTATTTATTATTGGAATTTGCTTTGATTTTGCAAAGGTTTTTTCTTTTTTAACAATTTTGTCCCACGACAGAGGTTTTTTATTTTAGGTGTGTTTTAAAATAAAACACTAAGCAATCTTATAACCAAAAAATTCCTAGCTAAAAAATATCAAATTTACCTTAGATTAACTTAACTTCAAAGATCATCAGGTCATATTTAAAAAAAACGGAAAATTGTTTAGGTAAAAAATCAGAAATATATATTTTCCTCTTAAATTAGCTTTTAGTTGAGTTGTTTCAAATCCGGAAGAAAAATATCCGGAATTCCAGAAATATCGGGAAAAAGATAATCCCTGTAACTTTGATTAATTTAACTTTGATCTTGGGAGTATTTAATAGATCAAAATATAGTTCGTTTTTTTTTTTAAATAATGATTAATTTGTTTAAGATTTTATTCTAAAAAGGTAATAAAAAGTGTTTTTTTTATGTGACAGATTTATGTCAAACAAGATTTACTATATATGCTAAGACTAATTTATGGTTAACAAGACAACTTTATGTTATTACATTTGCTGCACTTAGGATAAAATAACTAGAAGTTTGCTGATTAAAGATGTATAAATCTTGCTTAAGATTGATTGAGCAATAATTAGAGAGGGCAAAGTGATCTTTAGAGCTTTTAAAAATCGGTTTAGTGAAGCATTTATTATATCTATATATCTATATATCTATATATGTATATATACATATATATATATATATATATATATATATATCTATATATATACATATATATATATATATATATATATATATATATATATATATATATACACATGTATATACATATATATATATATATATATGTATATATATATATATATATATATATATATATATATATATATATATATATATATATATATATATATATATATATATATATATATATATATATATATATATATATATATATATATATATATATATAAGGGCCCTGCGAAGCTTATATATAATCAACTTTTTTTTTTAATGAAAAAATCACAATATGATTTATAAATCAAGCAACTCATTTTTAACTACTAGCTATGCTTATAAATGCTTACAATTGAAAGCATTTTACCAAAATGGCAGCTTGGCATCCATTTTTATTCATATCAAAATCTTCATCAAAAACAGTTTTTCCTTTACATTTAAAATCAGTAAAATGACAGTCTTTTCTATTCTGATTTTTTAACCCCCATACTATATAAATGCGAATGACATCCATTCCTCCTCCCATTTCTGTGAAAGATTTTAACTTAATTTGGCGCATATCATACCAATTTGTTCCTTTAGGCCACACTTGAACCTAAAACAGAAAAAAAAATTTAACTTTATAAGAACTATAACTTTTTATTTTTTACCAAAACAATGTCAAAAAAACAAATATAAACTTTATTATTTTACTATAATTTACCATTTCTTCGTCAGGTCCAATTTTCAGCGCGAAGACCAAAAAAATCACAGACATAGCAAAAAATACAAGTAATACAACCCAACGAAGTTTATTATGTAATACAAAATTGACACTATAGGAAGTTTCAAACCACTTCACTACATTTTTAAACATTTTTGTCATATCATCTTGAGGAGCATCTTTGGTGCTACTCTCAATTGCACCATTGATAACTGATTGATTATTAGATTTGGAACAAAGATGAAAATCTTTCCAATAATAATGGTAGTTGACAACAACACTTGGAAAAAAGATACATACTGAACAAAAATTCACCATTACCAGTATACCTAACAAAATAAGTTATACCTACTAGTGTATCTAATAAAAGATTTAATAATATATAGATTTTAAGTATTTTGCAACAACATTTTTGGTATACTTTAACATTTGTGAGTAAAACATTAAATTTATTTGCACATTGACTGATTAATTTAGCCATAGTCTAAAAAATTGACACTGCCAAACTTTTATAGTTTTATATAAATAAATTAAAGAAAGTTCAAACTATGTTTGGTAAATAACAAACATAGTTTGAACCATAAAAATCTTTATTTCAAAATAAAAAAAGAAAGTTAACATTTGCATGACAGTCCAAAAATCAAAAAAACAGAAAATTTGTGATTGTCGAGAAAAACACTATTTTGAGTCCATAACGATTTGAACAAAATAACTCAGTGGGAGATCAGATGGCAACTAATTATAAAAATAAAGACAGCAACAAATTAGGAAAAATGTATCGCTAGCTAAATAAGCCGGCAACTAGCTAGTGACAACTTGTAACAATATTTGGCCACAAGGATTACTTACTACATACGCTAAATTTTGTGTGTCTTCTATATAAAGTTTATTTAACTTCTTATTCTCAATGATAACAACTCAATTGGTATCAAGCCATTGATACCAATTGAGTTGATATCATCTCAATTATAAAATATAAAATATGAAAATGCTTAAACATTTTGATTGTTGTGCCATATATATATATATATATATATATATATATATATATATATATATATATATATATATATATATATATATATATATATATATATATATATATATTTTATTTTATTTGCATTCACTCCCAACAAGGCTGCAAGCAACCACTATCAAGTTGGGAGTTACTAGGAAAAAAAAGAACATTGTTATAGAGCAAGGAAACGGTTGACAGAAGACTTGAAAAGTTGAAGGTTGTATGAGTCAGGAAAACATGAAGATGGGAGAGAGTTCCAAAGGATTGAAGTGCGGGGAAAAAAACTAGATGAATAAAAGTTTTTAGAGCATGCAGGGACAGATACAGTAAACGAATGAGACTTAGCTGAATGACGAGTAAAACAAGAATGAATTTTAGTTGATGGAACTAGAGATGATAACTCCTTTGAGCAGTGACCATGATAGTATTTGTAGAAAAGAGAAAGTAATGCAACTTAACGACGATGGGAAAGAGGTTCAAGCTTAGCAGATAGTCCAGGTCCAACAACATTTACAATGCGTTTTTGGACCTTGTCAAGAAGAGAAAGTGAATCGTTAGAAGAACCAGCCCAAATATGACAACAGTATTCCATACAGGGACGAATAAGAGATTTGTAGAGGTAGAGAATGGAATCAGAAGTAAGAAAATGGCGAGCACGATAAAGAGAAGCAACCTTAGCAGAAGCTAATTTAGCAATTGATTGTATATATGGTTTCCATGAAAGGTCAGTAGTAACCGATAATCCAAGAAGACGTAAAGAGGACAACTCAGTAAGAGGATTGCCATTCATTAATATAGGAATGTTGACCATATTACGGTAGTTGTTTGCAGTAAGCAACTGGGTTTTTTTAGAGTTGAAATTCACAAGCCACTGTGAACCCCAATCTATTACTGAAGTGAGATCGGATTCAAGATCAGCTGCTTGTTCTAGGCGATCGAAAAGAGAAGACTTTTTGTCAAGACAGGAGTATAAAGTTGAGTCATCAGCAAAAAGAGCTACTTTAGATGAAAGGTTGTCAGGAAGATCGTTTATGTAGATAAGAAACAAAACAGGGCCCAGGATGGAACCTTGGGGAACCCCAGAAGTTACTGGAAATAAAGAAGAGTGTTGGCCTTCAAGGATGACTTTAATAAACCGGTTAGAAAGAAATGATTTGATACTCTCAAAAACTTTCCCAGAAACACCATATGAAGCAAGCTTATGGAGAAGACCAGCATGCCAAACTTTGTCGAAAGCTTTAGATATGTCGAGAGCAATAGCCCTAGCCTCACTGCCTCCATCTAATGCACGATAAAATCTTTCAGTTACAGCAGTTAGCAAGTCGGCCGTAGAGCGAGAGGATCGAAAACCGTATTGATTGTCTGACAGTAGTTTATTTGACTCAAGATGAGATGTGAGGAATTTGTTGATCAAAGACTCAAAGACCTTGCTAATAACAGAAAGAAGACTGATCGGACGACAATTGGAGGGGTCAGAATTTTCTCCAGAGTTTTTGAATATTGGAACCACAGATGCCATTTTCCAACAAGCAGAAAAACAAGACTCAGTCAAACACTTGTTAAATAGTTTAGAGAGAATTGAAGAAAGTTCTGGAGAACAATTCTGCAAGACTGTGACAGGAATGTTGTCTGGACCACAAGCTGTAGACGAGTTTAATTGAGATATGACTTTAGCAACAGAAGCCGGAGTGATTTGAATGTCTAACAATGGGTCAACCTGTTTGACTGGAATGGAAGTAAGAGAATGTCCATAAGATTCAAGAGTGGAATTAGAAGAAAAGTTCTTTGCAAATAGTTCTGCCTTATCCTTGGGAGAGGTAATAAGATCAGTCCCATGAATGAGAGATGGAATGTTAGATCTACCCTTGTTAATAATGCTGTTGAAGATTTTCCAAAAGTCTTTAGAGCCTAACTTCTGTGATAAGATGAGAGATTTAGTGAACTGAGAATAATGGAGTTTAGCATCAGAAAGCACCTTTTTACATCGATTTCTTGCAATAATAAATAGCCGTTTGTTCTCAAGAGAGTTGTTCTTTTGAAAAAGATGAAAAAAATGATTACGATTGGATATAGCAGCCGCACAAGAAGGAGAAAACCATGGAGTAGAATGAGGCTTGACTTGAAACCGACGCGAAGGAATAAAAGCTTCCATTCCAGCCTGAATCCAGGAGGTTATGGTGCATTTGTCAGCTGAGAGAGAAAAAACATCAGCCCAAGGACCATCACGAAGAAAATCACGAAAGGAATCCCAGTCAGCTTTAGGGTAGTAGTAGGTGGTGCGATGATAAGGTGAGCCCAAAAAAGAAGTACGAGAAGAAAGATTTATAGAGATCATTGCATGGTCAGAACCACCTAAGGGAGAAAAGGGAGAAACTGAACATAAGCTAGGGTCAGAGACAAGACATAAGTCAAGGAGTGAAGGTAAATGATTAGGGTTGTCAGGAAAACGAGTCACAAAGTTAACTATCATAGTAAGAGATTGAGAAACGCAGAAGTTAAAGGCTTTAGTGCCAGCAGGATCAGTGGTGTTAGAGCCAAGCCATTCAGTGTGATGGGCATTAAAATCACCAACAACAACAATATTGGCAGAGGGGTAAAGAGAGAGGGCATGGTCAATTTGATCAGAGATAACATCTAAAAGAGTGCAATCATGGGAAGAAGGAGAACGATAAAGAACAAAGAGAAAGGTGATAGAGTGAAGAAGTGCTAGGCGAAAGCACATAAAAGAATGGTCAAAGGATTCGAACCTGATTTCACGACAAATAGGGGAATTAATGCGTATGTATACCCCTAAACCTAGCATGTGACTATTGGAGTCTTTACGAATCAAAGGATAGTACCCATCAACACTGACATCTGATATATATATATATATATATATATATATATATATATATATATATATATATATATATATATATATTTATATATATTTTCTTTGTATAAACCTTACTAATACTTCTTTTTGACTAAACTTTATAAATATAAAAATAAGTTAATGCTGAAGGGTAGAGAATAAAATTATTTTAATAATAACAATTTTAAATAAAATCAATGTTTTTTTTAAAAGCGCAAACATGCAATTGATAATTTTAAATTTATTTAAAATAATTCATTATATTGCTATGACTTCATAAATGGTTCATAAATGGTGGAAAAATAATAGAAAAGAATAAATCAAAAAAAAAAAAAAAAAAATACAGTTGAGATTATATAATTAAGAAATTACATATGATAACTTTGAATGATAATAAAATAAATCTCTAAAGTTAAAGAAGAAAAACTTTTGCACATTTTATATCTCTCGCTCATTAAAATCATTTCAAAAACCGCTAATTAAAATCATTTCAAAAACCGCTTACTAACTCTTGTTTGCAGATACTATTTAAACCGAATATTTAATACTTTAAATTGTTTTAAACATTCATCTTCTTGGGTATTTAAACAATTTGTTTAATAAAGCAAATTTTTAAAATTAAATTTTAAAACAATGAAACACTATAAAATAAATTTACATAAAACGAGATTTTTAACAAATATATATATATATATATATATATATATATATATATATATATATATATATATATATATATATATATATATATATATATTTAATAATCCTGTTATAAAAAAAAAATGCAAGCATTCAATTAGTAATTTTGATTTATTTATAAACTATTTTTTCATTTATTTGCAATTTTCAGAAAAACTTACAAGAAAAAAAATAAAACTAATTGACAAAGTACAGATGAAAGAAAAACTGTTCATAATTAAATACATAATTTATTATATATTATTATATATATATTAATAAAATAATATTTAAAATTTTTTGTATTAAAATAGTAGTAAAATAAGAACTTCAATCATATAAGAAAAAAGAATTTTTCACCATCGGTAAAATAAAATTAATTTAAATAAGCAAAGCAAAAAACTTAATGATTATAGTTTACACTGTTATATCTACAACAAAAATAATCAACAACAATATCTACAACAAATATATCAATAATCAACAACAATATCTACAATAATCAACAAAAATCAACAATATCTATAATAATCAACAATGGTTGCAAAAAATTTATTCCACTCATCCATTTAAAACAAAATAAACGACAATCAATCTGGGTAACAAAAGAACTTTTATTACTAATTAAACGAAAGAAAGAACTTGCTGTTACGGTTTCTCAACCGTAACAGCAAGTGGAACATCTCGTTGGCTAATGATTACAAGTTCACTCGAAATCTTGTAAGAAAAGAGACTAAAGCTGCAACTCGTTTATTTGAAGAAAACCTGTCTAAAGA